ACAGACCATAACAACATCACGGCTAAAAACTTACTCCACACGTTCTGAAACATCAATCATTTGCAACCCCCATTTCTTCATGGGGAGGAAACCAAATCCTGAAAAGTAACAATAAACTTGTGTAAGGCTTCTTTTCAGGAAAAAGAAAAGGAAAATCTTAGTGGCTTATACAGTAATGACTCAAAACAAAGAAGTTAAATTAGAATAACATGAGTCTTTATCTAATTTACAGAACATATCTTATTAGCTACTAGTATAAGATGGCAAAATAATTGTGTTGGCTATCTGGAAGACAATATATCTGACATTTGAACATTTCCTCCTACTAAGCAAAACCAAGTGTGCTTTAGGCTAGATTGTTGGAATCGAAACGTATAAGCATTTGACACAAAGTTCTTGCCTCTGTATAAACATGATACTTATCAGTCTATACATGATGATAAAGGAAAGAAAAAAAAGTGTCTCGTACAAATTTCCTTATTAAATAAAGGTGTCAAACTTTACAGAGCTGACTGGACTAAAAGGACAAGACGAACCAGTACTGGGACAACAAATTGTCCAGTACTTAGAATGCCAAACTATTAGCTGGTAGCTTAGGGAAATGGATAGCTTTTATTCAAACAATTATCTCAAAATTGTTTCTTCGTTTTTAATATTAGTCCAAAAATTAAGAAGTGGACATACTAATCACAAACTAAGATACTACTGGTGCAATTTGTTTACTAAATAAAATCTCGGATATATTTCTTGCACATATCAGACCTAAAATTTGCTTACCAACTAGCAGAGCTCAAAAAATAACACAGACGAAACCTAGAAAGTTACCCAATAAAAACTACCTAATCAAGATACACATTAATTACTGGATTACATAAAGAGAAAAGAGGTTTAACAAATGTGTGTGCAACTAATACATTTCTTAGACTTGCACGTTTTAGTTAGCTTGATAATTTATTCACATCTTATATACCTAAACACAGAATTATGTGAAGCAAAGTAAGATAACTTACATCTAGGACGTCTCTTAGTCTGTAGGACGTTAATCTTTTCCAGAGGCACGCTGTTTTGGCTCAGGATCTTTAAAACTGTATTAACTCTTTCATCACCTTCATGACATTTGATTTCAACAATCTTGAGGTTCTTAAATGGGAATGCTTGTTTCAATGGCTTGTCACTATCTTCAATTTCCACAAAATTATAAGGTTCCTGTAGCAAGTAAACTTGTTGCTAACACAAACCAAGAAATAATTATAATTGTACAAAGCAATCTATCAGGAAGATATGTACCGTAGAAAGTTGAAGAGTGATCTTCTCTACAAGTGGTGCGTGCTCAAGAAGGCAAGCTAGCTCTGACATATTAGAATTCATGAACCACTCATTGACTAACAAAGTCTTTAACTTGCTAAACATGGGGCACCACCTCAGATCCCTTCTGAACATAAACTGGACAAGATGCAGTGGAGAAAGATGAAGTCAAGAATTACTTTGGAAACAAAAGGGAATTGTGCATCTGAGAATTAACAGCCAAAAAAGTACAAGTGATTATTTTTTTTTATCATATAAGCTCCTCTAGCTTATAGAAGTATGTCTAATTATATATACATTGGCGATTGGCCATATTGGATATGTTAATAAGATATACTATACTGAACTCCATCTAAGAAATTTCTTTAACATATCAATATAACTTTTCAATTGAACTAAAATTTAAACTGCAAGGGGGTATGGAACATAGTATGAAAAATTGAAAACTGTATTGAACTTCTTTTCTTAACAAAATATCAACCGCTTGGAATGCCATCAATGAAACATGATAATTTACAAGTATTTGCCGATGGAAATGTAGAAAAACACCTTATCTGAAAATAAATTAATATAGGGACATATGACAATGGATGCAAATATTGCAAGATAAGTAGTTGGATAATAAGAAGCAAAACAGCAGGGATGTGCCAGAAGTTGAGACATACCACCCTAGACTCAGCTTTCAACTCCAAAGTCGAAGTGCCTGATAAACCTTGAAGAAGCACACAACCGTCACAATCAATGACCTTATTAGCACCGCAATCAAAACATCCAGGATCACCACATTTCCCAAATTCAGTGTTCACACAACGATCCCTACAGTCATCACTTAGACTAACAGATGCTGTAACCAACAATGGCATGTCTTCGAGGAAAGGAGTAGCGCCCCAGAAGTGCTTTAGTTGCAGTGAAATAAGACTTGGGACAGAAATACGCGTGCGGAACTTCCGATTAAAACCACACCCATCCATAATCATATGTTTCACTGATGGGGACGAGATCGTGTGAGCATGTATGAATCCACCCCAAAACTTCAGGTGCTCCAATGCTGGACAACCCGAGAAATCAACCAAACTGTCTTTGATCTTCACATATTTAAGCTCCAACACCCTCAGATGCTTGGAGACGAGAGGCAGGTCAGGCAGGCACAATGGATCATCCTCCACATAGATCTCGACTCTGATCCACTGAGCTTGGCACGACACGGCGTGCCGGAGCCACAGGCCGACGTCCGGATCGTCGGGTAAATCCTGGTAGGATTCGAACTCACAGCAGTCGAAGTTGATCACGCAGGCGTCCAGCAGCGCCGCGCGGTCGCGGAGGAGGAGCAGGTGCTTGGCGAACTCGTTCAGCCCACGCACCGTCCGGAACCCGTCGTTGGGGAGGATCTGCAGGAGCGGCGCCGACCTCCAGAGGTGGCGCCACCGCCGGGAGAGCGCGCTCGTCTGCACGGCCTGCCGCGCCGAAAGCAGCGAGACGACGCGACGGAGCAGGTCGTCGGGTAGGTCCCCGATCTTTACCCTCCCCGAGCTCGCCGCCGACATTTTCCTCATCTTGGCTCGGGGAAACATTCCGTCGAACAGGGCGGCTGCACTGCGGATCACGAAACAGAGCGGCGGGTTGGAAAGCCAGGAGAGGAGGAGACCCGGAGAAGAGATCAGCGGTTGTTACCGGTGAGCTCCACTCGCCGTCGCCGGTGGCGGGGGGCGAGATTGCGCGGTGGAATTGGCGCGCGCTCCCTTCTCTTTTCCCGCGCGAGGGCGCGTTTTAGGGTTTCTTTTCACAGCCTTCGGCCCAATCCGAAGCCCAACACCAAAAGCCCAAATTGCGTCGTGCTCCGCTCAACTTCGCTGATTTCGGGCCGGGTAGCCTTCAATTCTGAGAAGCAGCTGTTTGTTAGCCAGCTTTCGAGAATCTGGAAAAGCTCTGAAACTCAGCTTCTCCAGCTTCTGGCTTCTTAGTTCATTTTTCAGAATATGTAACTACAGATTCTCAGAAGCTGTGAACTGTTTGGGGCAGCTTCTAACAGAAGCAGCTTTTAAAAAAAGCTGCAGCTGGGACAAGTTCCCCTAAATAGGGCCTTCATTACAATAGCATGTAAGTATTCTTGAGCATTCACCCATCTTAGAAAAGCTAGTCCTCCAACTTTTTTCCAATGTATGCAAAATCTCTGAATAAGCAGTTCTTGTGTTGTCCAGTGCTTCGTATACATCATCGATGATCATGGTGAAACTTTTTGTCTATTCAAGGGACCTAAACATAAAGTTGGAAATGAATGGAAGTCGTTATCAATCAGATGTATCAGCTGCAGTGTTGGAACATCTTAAGATTGTGGAAATCAAATGTGAAGTGGTTGATGAGAGAGTTCACGAAGTTTTGAAGTTCCTGAGTACACTAAACATATGTAAGATAACCGCCGGTGCTCATGCTTGTTATATTTATTAAACTTCAGTGACACGTGGGACAGAAATTCAAGAAAGTAAGAAACTCCTGGTTAGTTAGAGAAGTAATGAATTTTCGGGATGCCAAATCAGTTGAGAAACAAGAACTTTGCAGTTTGTACTTCGTTTTCTGAGGGCAAAGGGATAACACCAAATGAAACTCTGATACTGTGTTCATTGAAATAGCACCAAATGTTATCTTTTCTTATTACATTTCATAAATCTCACCCTCAATACTAAAGTTTTCCATATTTTATTCATTTTCTACAAATAGTTTTATTTAAAAACCAAAAAGAGGGATGGTAGCGATCACAAGTTTAATTGTTTCTAACAAATTGGAAAGAAATAGTACTGCCTCTCAACCATCTTTCCGGAGAAAGCTAAAAATAGTTTATAAATTTGCAGGCTCTTTACGAAGCACTTATGTGGCACTGGTACATATGATTGAATACTGATTTTCTATAATTCCCAACCGATATATATTAAATAAATTGGTGAAGTTAGCATAGGTCAACCGGTTAAGGTTTTCTTATGGAAGTAGATCATTCGGATTAAAGTTTTAGATTTGATATATATATTTATATTTACGACTAATTTTGTTTAGTGATAGATAACGTACTTGTCAACAACAAGAAGTCCTTTCTAGGGTGATCATAAGCATAGTATGCATGTATATCTTCATAAGGCAATCATAGGTGTAGAGTATGCATGTGTGTTTATAGGGGTGAGCATATACGCACTGTGAGTTTCTACGTTTCTTAGAAAATCACTTGAGGATATATATTATTAACAATATGGAGTAATAATTATCGTTAATTATTTTTGATTTTTTTCCCATTTGAAACTGCAAAAGCCTTTTCTTCTGGCCCGGTGCTCCATTTGCGAATTTTTTTTCATTTTTAAATTTTTATTTTTTAATATTTACAGAAATATTATACCATCTAAAATATTTACAAAAATGTCCCCTGCCGCCCAAGTGGAGAGCGGCAAGGTGTGCGCATTTTGCACTGAGATCCCTTGTCGCTCTCTGTAAGGGCTGAAGGGGGTAAATGCAATTTTCACCCGGCCAAAAATGTATTTTGCTAGTTTTTTTCCATCTTGTCCGTCCCTCACGTTACACTGCCGCCCTTGGTCCTGCCGGACGGCAGGGTCTTCTTCTGTAAATATTTTCGATATAATATTTCTGTAAATATTAAAAAATAAAAATGTAAATATGAAAAAAAAATTCCTCCATTTGCCTTCCGAAGTCCAACAGCCATAATAACCCAACAACCCTTTTTCTTGCTTTTAGGGCGTTCTCTGCTCCTCAACGGCTCAAGCTCAACCCAACCTCCCCTCCTCCGTCCAGGGTCCAGCCAGGCGAGGCGATTGGAGCCATCGGCGGCGAGGTGAGCTGAGGCGAGGTTGAGGGAGTGATCAACGAGCGAGACGCAAATCTTTCCCTCCCCTCCTCACCACACTGGGATGATTTCTTTGTTCCGCAGGTGCTCACCAGTCGTTCGACGGAATGCCTCCAGCAAAAAGGGCCAAGAAAGCGGCCGCGGCGGGCGGAGGCGACCTCATCGGCGCCCTCCCGGACGCGATGCTGCACCGCATCCTCTCCCTCCTCCCGGCGCACGAGGCCGTGCGGACGTGCGTGCTGGCCCGGCGGTGGCGCCACCTCTGGAGGTCCGCCCCAGGCCTGCGCATCGTCCGCGCCGCCGGCCGGCCGCCGGCGACCGTCGAGGAGCCCCAGGGGTTCGTCGACCACCTCCTGCTCCTCCGCGGGGGCTCCCCTCTCAACACCTGCGAGCTTTCCTTCGATCAGATCCGCAGACAACACATTCCCCGCGTGAACCTCTGGATTCGTCACATTGTCATGTGCAAAGTCCGAGTGCTCGTGCTTCACCTCAATCCTTATTGTCATGAATTGGACGAACTGCCTCTGGTCTCGCAGCACCTGACGAGGTTGGAGCTTTCTGGTCTGATCTTAAACGACAGCTTCCTCAATTTCTCGAGCTGCCTGGCATTGGATTATCTAGAGATTGTCCAATGTTACTTCTCTTCTCTGACAAAGATCACATCGCAGTCGCTAAAGCGGCTAAGAATCATTAAATGCTATACTGGTTCCCGCCCTCATGTGCATGCCACAAATCTCGTTTCACTGCATCTGGATGCCATAACAAGGACTCCTGTGCTTGAGAGATTGCCATCATTAGTGAAAGCAGACATCAAACTTAATAGTCAGTGTCGCGATTTCTGTAGTTTTATGACTTTTCTGGGGGTTGCAATCATGAATTCTGCAGCGGTTGTCGTGGCGTACAAGCTGAGAACTGCGTGCTTCTGCGAGGTTTATCAGAAGCTAAGAATCTGGCATTGGTAGCTGAAACTAAAATGGTACGCCACATGATCATATTCACCTTTGCATTTTATTTAACAGTGAGGATCATTGATCTTTTCCATATGCTCAGTTTGTTTTCAGAAGAGACTTGAAGTGGTGCCCTATCTTTAGGAATTTGAAGACTTTGTTACTCAATGAATGCTTGTGTGTGCCTTCCGATTTGAGTGCGCTAGCATGCATTCTTCAGCATTCACCTGTTTTAGAAAAGCTCACTCTTCAACTTTTTTCGATGGTATGCAGATTTTACGAATGAGCAGTTGTTGAGCTGTATAGAATTACTGTGCATCATTGATAATATTGTTTTCTGTTCATTCCAGGGACCTAAACATAAAGTGGAAATGAAGGGAAGCCGCCATCCATCGGGGGTGTCAGCTGCAATGTTAAAATATCTTGAGATTGTCGAGGTCAAATGTGAAGTGGTTGATGAGAGTGTTCTCGATGTTTTGAAGTTCCTAAGCTCACTTAACATATGTAAGATAACTACTGGCACTCATGCCTTTTATATCATTCGATTTGCATTTAAATGTGGAATAGAAAAGCAAGCAACTAAGAAACTCCCAGGTTAGTAAAAGAAGCAGTGAATTTTTGGGATTCTAAATAAGTTAACAATTGTCATATGGAAACATATATGTAGATAAGAGTCTTTCATGTTTTCCATGTGGGAATGAATGAAGAAACTATGTCATTGGAATAACACTGAATGTTACATCAATTGGAGAGAAAAATTAATACCCGCATTACATATGGTGGGTACAGAACAAAAACAAGTGTTAATCCTCAAAGCTGTACTTGATAAGTCCTCAAAACTTGCTGCATTCATGAGATGTTGACATGTGATTAGTTCAGATCATTATGTCTGAATTGAGTTGTTTCGAGCAGCAGCAGTGAGCTTTGTTATTGTTTTAACTGACCTTCTTATAAGAGAAAATCTAAGAAATGCCATTGACAAGCGTTCAAATCCTAGAAATGCCATCGACAAGTATGAGTTTCAAGAAATGCCATCGTATAAACAACTTTGTCCCAAAAATACCATCGCCGTTAGGGTTCCGTCCATTTTGCGCCGTTAAGTTCTATAGGATGTACAGTGTATATAACGGCGCAAAATAGACGGAACCCTGTCATGTTTTCGTATAACGTATGTCAAGCTTTCAAGTGAAATTGTTATGCGCTGAATCTTATTTCTGCCTCTTACGTTTCCTCGTCATGTTTTTTTCTACTCAGGCTTCACTTTCAAGAAATAGAAGGGTTGGGAAGAAGATGGACGTACTGCTCGAAGGAAATGGAATGCTCCATCAGGGAAGCACCCACAATACTTGAAATTACGTGTTTTATCTGTGGGATTCTGTTGAGATCTGCGTGTAGGAACAACATAAGTCAGCTATGAGTTTGTAGTTGTACCGTTTTATGTGGGCATGGATTACCGTACTACTATCGTATCTAGTCAATACCCCAGTTTATGCCTTGAATCCGTGGTTCTATTTTTCTTAAGCCATGATTCATTCCTTGATTCCCATAAGCACAAAATTTAACATGCTTCAAAGTTGATGTCCCATAATATAATATGGCATGTTGATTCCATCTGAATCAAACTGAACTTACCAAAGGTCGACTTCCATCAAGTTTCACATCAAAAGAAACCGGAAAGGTATGGCCATGGGTCGTAACAGAATTAAACAATGCACCTTAATTTCTTTCCAACCGGAAACTGTGAAAACTTTAGGACCGTAACACGGTAACAGAGGCTGTGTTTAGTTGTTTTGGCAAAAAAAATTTGATGTATACGGATACACATTTGAAGTATTAAATATAGACTAATAATAAAATAAATTACAGATTCCTTATGTACACAGTGTGATAAATTTATTAAGCCTAATTAATCCGTCATTAGCAAATGTTCATTGTAGCACCACATTATCAAATCATGGTGTCGCAATTTACATGCAAACTGTGCAATTGGTTTTTTTGTCCATATTTAATGCTTCATGTATGTGTCCAAACATTTGATGTGACAAAAAAATTGAAAGTTTAAAGGAAACTGAACACAGCCTGAATTAAACAGTGTACCTTAATTTCTTTCCAACCCAAAACTGTGAAAACTTTAGGCGTCCAAAGTGATCATTAGATTTTGCGAGTTTCTCCGCTTAGCTTGTAGGATAGTATCATCTAACGTAGTAAACCTGGCAAAGATGAAAATCAATAAAAGGACTTGAACTGAGCAGCCATTCCTTTCAAAGACAAAGACCACATTCTCCAAAGAATTACATCTGGATGACACATGCTACTAATCAGTCATACAAGCAGCATTAATTAGGACTGCATAGTCAAAAGAGCAGAAAGTATACAACATATACTTGTGGAAACCACTTCTTCAGTTCAGCGTAGAGAAGACGTCCCTGTGGCCTCAGAGATGTTTCGATTGCCCCTCATATACCGGGCCTCACACCACAGTTACCACTTCTCATCAATGATACTCCTTAGAGAACCAAAAAGAAAAACATATAAAAAAGAAAAACATATAAATAAAGAGAGAGAAAAGAGAAAGGGGAAAACTGAAAAAGAGAAAAGAGAAAGGGAAAAACGGAAAAGAAAAAAAATTGGGAGAGATTGGATTCGAAGAGAAAGGGGAAAACTGAAAAGAAAAAAAATTAGAACCCTGGTACATGGGGTTACAGCTGAAGCCTATAGGTGGTTCATTGGAAATGAATGCACAATAATTTAAATCGTCAGGACTTCAGTGCCAAATTAAGCTATGATGACTACCAATCCATGCCACCTCGGATTAGAGCTTAGTGCCAATGACGTTGGTGCTGAGACGTTATAGATCAACGCCAAGATCCATGGCGCTGAGTCGACGGCCTATTTTTAATTGAAGTTTTTTTAAGGACTAGTTTCAAAATAAGTTTTTGAGAAGGATCAATTTGTAAAAAAAAAGGGTACTCCTTCTGGGAGAAAGTTCCACGTCTTCTTTCCACCATTTTATTCCTCGCCTCACACCACAGTTACCGCTTGCGGCTTTGCCATCACATCACTAGTTGCTTGGGAGCTCTAACAGCATCAACCTATCATGAGTCATGAACAAGACCTGCATATAAACCTCCGACGTTTTGAATAAAAACCCCCTACATTACTTCCTATTATCGGGCATGATCATAGCATCTTTCTCAGTATTTTGTTTCACTGGTGAGAAAAATTGCTAGCAGAAACCTTTTCTCGAAAACAAACACATGGCAACCACAGATCAATTAGTGATTGGCTGCTCTTCAACCTACGGAAAACTCCGAATTATTATCAGTTGGACAAATTGCATCGATTTCCAAATCTTTAAAACCGATTTCAGGGACCAAACTCTACCTTACTATTGGGCCACGTGGAGCTCTGTAAGTTTGCCAATGCCCTAGCCAAGAATCTGACACGTGTCCATGTGGAGGAAACACTGGTACTAGGTGGGAACCGGAAGTTTCACCGTGAAATTGAAAAAAAAATGCATTGGCGTGTACAGCCCAATCGCACATGCCTGCCCTAGGCCTGGTCGTCCGGCGCCGTTGTTGCTACATCATTTTGCATTGTTGCGTTATCAGGCTAAGGGTGCACAGAGGACCAAGCAGAAATATATTTCTACAAAATAAATAATAAAAAAACTAAATAACAGAAATAAGGTGAAAGATTAGATGAAAATTTGCAATACTAAGAACCATTATTTCTTCAAATGTGTGAAGTGAGTATAACTCAACTGGATAAGTTACTCGTGGTGAAACCAGCCCAGACGACGAGTGCTCGTATTTACGGCTAATATTTTTTTTAGTGATAGGCAACATATCCATCAACAACGATGCAACTATGAGCCGTGCTGACTTTATCAATCTCAAAATATACCGACCTAGTCTTTTTAATATGCTCATATGGGTATGGTTCATAGGCATGAGTGTATGCGCGTTGTAGGCGTCTATGTTTGTACCGTGTTTAAAAAAAACAAATTTCTTTGAATGTGCATTTTACTATTTTACCTTATACACCATTTTTTGGTTAATAAAATTGCCACAGTTTTGAGGAAACATAATATTGCCGCATCTCATTATTTGATATGAAGTTTGCTAGAGTGATAAATATACCTCGATAAGAGGTACGTAAATTTTCTACATTCCAAATAAGCACTAAATAAAATATACATGTTATAAATTTATCGGTGCGCCAACAGGCGCGCTGATTTTTCTAGTGATTCTTGCAAAGGAGAACCCAGTAAAGGCTCTGTATCAAGGTTCATGGTGCGCCGTTTCCCAAGTGAGGAGCCTCTGTTTTTCAGCTGCTGTACAAGAATGAACGAACCTATTGCAAATAAACCAACGGTAACCCTGCATATTAGTCATTTTGTCACTGTCATCACCATCAGCACTGCAACAGCTATCCATCCACATACTAATAATAAATCATGCCATGATTATACTAGATAGGTCACCGAGACATCCAACTAGAACATATAGGCCTCGGTCGAGGACTGAGGTGATTACCACGTAAAGATAGGTCCATGCTACATGATCCAGGCAAGTTTACATTACCAGTCCTAAGCTAGAGGTGATTAGTAAGGTGAAGCCAGGTCCATAATACTACATGATCCAGGCAAGTTTACATTAACAGTTCTAAGCTGGAGGCCAATGGTGCAGGCGCACTGTGCATCTTTCTGGTAGACAAAATACAGCAACCTCGTTTTCCATGTTTTCCCTTCTGCTCGAAATTGAACCCTGTACAAGCATGAAAAGCACAAATAAGCACTCAAGAAGGGCCATCTGGGCCCAAATGGAAATTTCTTAAGTTTCAACTGTTTTGCAAGAGGAAATAATTGCAGTTATCAAATATGCAATGGGTAACCAATGCCTTCTCTTCTCGAATACATCTTGTGCCCCAAATGCGAGCAGAAGTGGCACAATTTCTTGTGAGCATGTTATCCATCATAAAATTCTCTCACACATGGTCTACTCAACCAATACATTCTTGTCCGAAGTTTCTCCCCTAACTGATAATCGAAGGCGCTGCACCCCAGAGGCCTGCCCACTGCAATCTATGTGAGCATAGCAACACATGAACACAGGGGTGGTACTCCTTGCCTCCTTGGCCATACTCCTGTGCTGTTTCGCTAATCTGCCAGATAATTTTGGCATTTTGATTGTCCAATCTAATCTGTAATGTGTACTGTCACATAAAACACAACTGCTGCTAAAGATGGACGGATGGATGGAAAGAGTGATGGTAGTGTTGTCAAGATATTTGGTCGTGACTTTTCCTGAATGCAATTTCATATTCACATTGATATTTGTCTTTTCTCTAAATCCACATATTTTCATATATACCAATCTGTTAACTCAAACCACCGGAGATAGAAAGGACTGACTGCACATCATAATTAAATTTAAGAAAATGTTGTCTCAACTCAATCTGCTTTCCAATGTCACTAAAATGAAAAATCTGGTGTATAATGTTTCTAAATTTTTTACCTTTACATTTAGATTAAGTATATAGTTTCTTCATTGCTTGGGTATATCTAAACATAGGGCAGTTGCAGAAAAAACAAGGTTCACGAGAGCGAGCAACTAATTACCTTACAATGGAATCATGGCTCAAATGTCAAATTAACCTTTCGATATTAAATTGCACAATATATCTCCCCCAGGTAATCAAGATCTTCCAAAGTTTGAAAATCTCTTCTTGAACAGATACTGGGCATTTAACTTCAACTATCCTAAGATGCCGCAGTACAACTGGTCTTTTGAGATAGCTGGATATATCCACAGTAGGGCCATGTATCTGTTCCAAACAAAATATTCTATACAGATCAATTATGCGTGTGATATACAAGGTAACACCAATTCCTATCTTATTTGGAAGGTGTATATGGCACATACATACCTTACGGAGTTTAAGTGTGAGCTTCTGTACAACAGGTGTCTGCTGAAGAAAGCAAAGTAGTGCATGGAAGCCACCGTCCAAATTATAATCACTGAGTACCAACGTTCTTAAATTACTAAATGTGGGGCACCATCTTAGATCCCTTTCAAAGGTCAACTGAAGAAAGTGCAAAGAAGTGAAATCAGTTCAATATTTGTACTAGTATCGGATGCAACAACAGCAAAAATGAACACAAGTATTAAGTATAGAAAGAAGATCACATGTATGAATAGAGGTGGAAGCAATTGCTACCATACATACCATCTGATAGGAAGGTGACAATTCCAAATATGTGCATCTTGACAAACCCCTGAGAAGCAGACAGGTACCACTGATGTTGTCATTATCACGGCAGTTCGCACACAGACCACATAGTGCATCATAATTGTCCTGATCAGAACAGTTGCCGTTATCACTACTATTGTTATCAGAACTGTTGCCATTGTCACTACTGTTGTTTTCAGAACTGTTGTTGTCATTATCACAAGAGTTTTCACATGGACGATGACATTCCCCACAAATACCTTCAGTACAGTGGTCCACAGCAAACCATCCAAGCCTGACAAATGCTCTTTCTAAAGATGGCATGCTTTCAAGGAGGGGTGTTTGACCATCACAATCATTTAATACCAACACTGATAAAGATTGGGAGAAGATCTTGCCAACACTGATAAAGCAAGCACGCAACTTCAGATATTCTAACGCCCGCACAGCACGAGAAATCCAGAAATTTGCCCTTGAACTTTGCCTCGCTAAGCTCCAATCTCACCAAGTTCTCCGAAACGAGAGGCGTGCCTGCAAGCTTAACGTGAATGCTGGTTCCAAGATTGATCAGTAGCACTCGAAGCTGCCACACATTGTCCAGAACATATCGGATCCACATGTCGACTTGGGCACCATCCATGTCCTTGAAACCATCAAAGCTGAACCTGCACTCATCCAGAGGACCCTGCTTTCGGCTGAGCAGCAGGTGGTTGACGAACTTGCTCAGCTTGTCCACAGTGGCCGGCGAGCTCCCCCCACTGCCGGTGGTACTAAGAAGATGGGGAGACCTCGATAAGCCCGCGATGCTCAGGCGACGGGTGGACTTCCAGAGCTCGCGCCAGCGCCTGGACAGCAAGCTCGTCTTCACAGCCTCGTGGGTCGGGAGGAACCACAGCACGCGGTGGATTACCTCGTCGGGGAGGTCGCTGATCCGGTCGCCGCCACCGCCGCTCCCCACGCAAGCTCTCTTGCTCCCGCCCCGTGTCGGAGCCATTCCGTCGAACGGGTGGCGGGCGTCGGCCGACCGCTGCTGCAGGAGAGGAGGGGGACGTGAAACGTGAGCACGAGGAGCTCCAAGCGTCGAACAACAGGTTGGTTCGCTGCAAGTGAAGTGCTCACCTCCCGTCGTCCGCTTCGCTCGCCGGCGGCGGCAGGAGGATCCATGGAGGGAGAATGCGTGGCGCTCCAGTCGCCGGCGACGAGGTGTGTGCGTCCCGGGGAGAATTTCGTGCGGAGATTGGAGAGAATCGAGAGGGGATATCGATTTCGGTCGAGAGACGGAGACGGGTGGGGAAATTATTAGGGTTTCATCAAATGCGGCGGTAGGCCTTTCCACTGGGTTAGTTCAGCTACAGGTCTTCAGTGGTGGTTGGTTCACACCAAAATTAAAAGTTTGGTTAAATTAGAACGATACGATGAAGAAAGATAGAAGTTTGTGTGTGTAGAAATGTTTTGATGTGATAGAAAAGTTAGAAGTTTGAAGAAAAAGTTTGGAACTAAACTCGGCCCTTGTTTAGTTCCCAAATTCCAAAAACATCACATCAAATCTTTAGATATATACATGAAGCATTAAATATAGATTTTTTAAAAAACTAATTATGTAGTTTGAATAGAAATCGCAAGACGAATTTTTTAAGCCTAATTAGCCATGATTAGCCGTAAGGGCTATAATAACCCACATGTGCTAATAACAGATTAATTAGGCTTAATAAATTCGTCTAGCAGTTTTTAAGTGAGTTATGTAATTATTTTTTTATTGGTATCCGAAAAATCCTTCCGATATCCTGTTAAACGTTCGATGTGACACCTAAAAATTTTCTTTTCGCGAACTAAACACACCTAAAACGCACCCGATCCCCGGTTGACTGTTGACACTTGACACGGCCGGGGTCAGTCAAACAGTCACCCACACAACACATTTTTCTTTATCGCCCCCTCAGAGCAAGTTTATAGTTTAACACATCATTGGACTCGTCAATCTTCAGATGTTCCAGCACCGAGCAGCTCCAGAAGTCGCAGAATCTGTTGGTTAGCACTATGCGAAACGAGCTCTAGCCTCTTCAAGTGCCGGGAGATCGACAAGAGGCAGGTTGTCCACCTCAAAGAGTCAAAGTCCTGCAAGTTGTTTTTGGAGCAAGAGAGCCCGAACCCGGGACGCAACGGCATGGCGGATCCAGAGACTCACCCGGCCGGCGAGCGGCGTACGTCGTCGTAGTCGTGATCTTCAAACCAGAACCTGAGCTCGCGCGTGTCGAGCGGCGCCGGCGCGCAACCCGCGGAGGAGGAAGAGGTGGTCCATGAACTCCATCATGTCTTGCACACGCGCCATCTCTCTCCGTCGTCGTCGTCGTCGTCGTCGCCGTCGCCCCCAATCCTCAGGCCCGGCCGTGGCGGACTTCCAGAGTTCGCGCCAGCGCCGGGCGAGCACGCACCGGCACGTCTGCACGGCGTCCCGCGCCGGCAGGAACGAGAGCACGTGGGTGGAGGTCCTCGTTCGTCCGGCAGCGCGCCGATGCGGTCTTCGCCGCCGTCCGGATCCGCCTTCTTTGCCCCTCTTCGCTGGAGGCATTCCGTCGAACGGGCGGCGTGCGCTAGCTAGCTCTCTGCGCAGAGCAGGCAAGAAACTCCTCAGCTTCAGACGACGAGAGAGCTAGAGAGAGAGAGAATGACGGCGCACTCACCGGAGCAACGCCGCGTCACCTCGCCGGAAGGGTTCAAGCTTGCGCGGCGGGGCTCGCTGGCGACGGCGATGCGCGGGGCGAATTGGTAGACAGACGGTAGGGTTTGGCCGGTTTTGGAGATGGAGGCGCCGAGGCTGGCAGCATATCCTCTGAGCTGTCACTGACATATGGGCCTGGGCCTCATGCCAATGGGGTGATTCTTTTTTAAAAAAAAACTTTATTTTTCTTAAAAAAACAATGGTGTGATTCTCTCTCTCTCTTTTTTTTAAAAAACAATATGCTGTGATTCAAAACCTACATGCAATGAGTCATACCCTATCATAGGAATTGTATAAGATTTGAACAACTCCTATCATAATCAAAAGATCAAATAGGAAAATTTCTTATAGGATTTCAATCCAATAAAATTCCTCTAAATTCTTTAATTAAAAGGGACCCTTAACGTACATTCGCAGTTACAACTTATAAAACTTGAATTTAACATTGCATGTTTATGAAGTTATATGTTTCATATTAACACATCTTATTATTTTTTTCATATTTTTATAAATATTTAAATGACATATGCAATAAACGAGGAATGAAAACACTTTCTCTTGTGTATGCAATGCACCCATATCAACGTGGAACTCGAGATTATTTTTATTCAAATGATAATATATTACTATGCCACATGATTTTTAGGCTTATCTGGATTGATAGACAATTTTTGGCCATACCCAAATGTTGACAACTTTTTAATACAGAGTAGTACCAAATGAATGTTTTGTTTGGTATCAATTTTTGTCATACTAGTTTAAATTACATACTAATAAATTTGATACGGTCACTTGTCAAGGATTCGACACTACCAAAATTTGGTACAAACCAAACATGTTCTTGATTTTTTTTTTAAAAAAAGGACTACAATACTAACACTTAATTCAGAAGAGCATTTTGACTATCACTGATGGCAGCTTAGAAAACGAGATAGATCATTAGTATATAATTAATTAAGTAATAATTATTATAAATTAAAAAGTTAGTTTATTTGATTTTTTAAAAAAACTTCTACATAGATTTTTTTTAAAAAAATAAATACATTGTTTAGCAGTTTGAGAATTGTGCTCACGGTAAACTAGGGAGTAGCAAAATCTAAACTCATATATGAACTCAGCCTAAATATAGCATCCAGTAAGAGAAAAAAAATCTAGCTATCATCTATTTTCATCTAGGGCTTAGCCTAGCTGGGGAAATAGTAAATTTCCTAGAACCAAATTAGTTTTGGCATGTGGCACATAACTTAGGTATTACGGTCTTAATATTTCATGAAACCACATCGTTGACTAATTTAACTAAACATTCGAGCACAATGAAAAATAATTAACTTAGATGTCTACAACATTTATACAATGGATCAAACAAGATATAAAAGTCTAGAATTTATATGTATAATATATAACAAAAAAATTGTTTAATGGTGTGGCTTTGTGAAACTATTGAACCATAATGCATATGGTTGTGTAACACGTCAAAACTATGCAACATGAACTTAAAGTATATGGGTTCAAATTTACTTGGGGAAAATCAAAGAGGAGGAGTGTGGCCCTTACAGGGGCAAAGTGTCTATCTGAGCTTATAACTTAACTTTCTTTGTACAACTCTTCCTTTTTTAGGACATGTATATGCTGTTTTTAAGGCTCCGTCTTCGGCCGGTTCATTAAAAAAAGGAACATATGGACGAGGCATGGCAACTTTGTAACATCAAACTTAATCCCTCCATTACAATTTATAAATAATCCAGTGATAGTAAATCTGTCGACAGTCCAAAATTTGTCCACCCCTTCTAAAAACTGAATCCTGTAAAAGAAAAGGAAAGGCACATTAAGTTCAAAATCAAGTATTATCTAGAGAAGTACTCCAGTGTTCAGTAAGTTGACAAATAAACTTTATGGAACAGATTTTGATCAGTATAAATTTTTGCTTGCCCACCATACAGCTTAATCTCATCGATATGTTACTTATGCAACATGAAATGACAAAATGTTATGGACATCAATTATCATGGATGGAGTAAGGGTCCAAAGTCAAGGATAAAGACAAGATAGCTCTCATCCACATCGGCCTTGTCCTGATGGCTACGAGATCTTTTAATAAGCTAGATCTAATTTTATAATCCTATACAATTAATTTTACAATCCTGATGGCTACGAGATCCTTTATTGCTTAATTAATAATGGGGTACATGGGGGAGGGTCTTCCTGCTACAACACCGCACATACTACTTTCCTAAGAAATAATATCTGTAATTATTAATTAAACCAATTATTTTCTAATCGTATTGTTAGTTGTTAACGTGCATTGTATTGGTCATGCTACAATTCCAATGCCCATAACAACTGATGTTTTTGTCATCAATGGGAATGTGAAGTTTCAATAAAACACAATCAGCTAAAGGTTTGCGTTCAAGGATAAAAGAAGAACCAAGAAAAAGCTAAAGGAAAAATATACATGTGTAAAAAACTCCTAACAGAAAGGGGTGACTGAGTGAGTACTGTGAAAATAATGTACTGGAGATGTTATTCATTGGCAATGCAAATGCATACAGTTAGCTCGTATAAAAAAACAACCAGATGATGCAAAATTCATTTCAACAAAGGTGTGCAACCATAACAATTCTTTAATAAATGTGAGGCATATTGTTTTATCGAATTGCTGCATAGAACGACCAATGGAAAATCGGTCAAGCATTCATTAAATTTCCCCTACAAGGTGTGCAGTTGATGATTTGCTACTTCTTCCGTTGCAATCGAGGATTTGTAACCACCAAGATGTAACTAGCTGAGATTTTGCACTCTTGGTGTGTAATTGTATTTTTACTTAAAACATGAACATGTAAAAATGGAAATGCTCATGTACCAGCTATTTTGTAAATTTTATTAATTCCAAAGCCAACCTTTTGTAACATGTATTCAATGCAGTCGTTCTTTAGGTGAGAACTAATCAGGAGTACAATATCCAGAACTATTAAACAAATCAACATCTTGGCATATACTATATATGCAACCCTGTTATACTAAATAACCCTATCCATGCATTTGTGGATATACCAGCCAGTTTATACCCGTGACCCACCAAATTATCTTGTAGTCCTACTGTACTATATCATTTTCCGGATAGACACAAGAAATTGCTGCTTTCATTCAAACACATAAAGGTGAAGACATTTTTTTAGATAAACCGAAAGTGTAAGAGCAGTTCTTAGTTAGCTTACGTAAGTTAAATGCACACAGGAATTTCAGAACTTTGGAGACATTCTCATTGACCTCTTCGCATTTGACTTCCACTATATTAAGGTGCTCCGGTATTTCAGCTGGTCTGTCCATCATACCAAAACTCCCATTCATTTCCACTTTATGTCCAGGTCCCTGAAGAAAACAAGGGCATTATACCAAGCTCAATCAATAGTGTATAACAACTTTAATCTGTTAAGAGAATACATACCCAGGAGAAAAGATGAAGAGTGAGCTTCTCAAGAACTGGCGAGTGTTTGAGAATGCAGCTTAATGCGTGGAACTCAGGAGCCACACACCAGTGGTCATTTAGCAATAAAGTCTTCAGCTTGCTAAATGTAGGGTACCATTTCAAGTCCCTGTTGAAAATAAACTAGACAGAAAACAGGACATGCAAAAGATCAACTAATATTACACCGAATACTATGTATAATCCAGTTAGTGGCATTGCATATGAGAATTTTTGTTTGAGACTTTGAGCACCTTTGTAAGTGTACAGCAGTGGATATAGAAACTACCAACAGAACAATGGGACTATAATACGTACTACGTAAAGGAGTTGGGGACAAAACAAGTGTGTAATCATACCGTTCTGCAATGAGCTACCAATGCCAAATTCTTTGCTTCTGATAAACCTTTCAGAAGAACACAGCTTCTGTCATCATTTATAGGGTAACAGTAGTTACAATCCTCAAAACCACAATAACCAGAGCCAGCATTTCTACAAAAGTCGGAACATCCAGAGTTGACCGTGATGGTTGCCTCCACCAATGATGGCATGCTCTCAAGCAGAGGAGTCATGCACCAATAGTCATCCAGCTGCAGTGAAACAAGACTTGGGACACAAATCCGAGTGCGAAAATTCCTAACGGCCCCAAAAGAGCAGTGACTGATGCTCAATTGTTGCAGTGACCCGGCAGATGAGCTAATCATGGGGCATGATATCATGGAGTCGGAAATCTTCAGATGTTTCAGCGCCGAGCAGCTTGAGAAGTTACAGAATCTGTCTGTTAGGTCGAGTTTAAAGAGCTCTAGCCTCGTCAGGTGGCGGGAGACAAGAGGCAGGTCGTCCAATTCAAAGACTCCACCGGCAATGCTTCTGACCACGAGATGCCGGACCTGCGAGGCAACAGCATGCCGGATCCAGAGATTTACCCGGCGGGTCTCGTCGTCGTCGTCGTAGTAGTCAGACCAGAACCTGAGCTCGCACATGTCGAGAGGCTCGCATCCGCGGAGGAGGAGGAGGTGGTCCACGAACTCCCTAATGTCCCGCACACGCGGCTTCTCTTCCACTCGCCACCAAACCCAATCCTCACTCTCGCCCCCAATCCTCAGGCCTGTGGCCGACTTCCAGAGGTGGCGCCAGCGGCCAGCGAGCACGCACGTCTGCACGGCGTCCCGCGCCGGCAGGAACGACAGCATGTGGTGGAGGATCTCGTCCGGGAGCGCGCCGATGCGGTCTTCGCCGCCGGCCTGGTCCTTCTTGGACCTCTTCGCTGGAGGCATTCCGTCAAACAGGCTGTGGGCGCGCGGGCGCTCACTGGCGCCGGAGAGATACGGTTCAGCTGCAGATGACGCAGGAGAGAGATGCGCACTAGCTCACCCGAACAACGCCGCCTCACCTCCCCGGAAATGGTTTGAGCTTGCGTGCCGCGGCTCGCCGGCGTGGGCGACGGCGACGGCGACGCGCGGGGGTGGGGGAGAGGTGTTTTGGGCCTTTGGAGATGGAGGTGGCGAGGTAATTCTAGTAACGGGGTAAGTAGCCGAGGAGTAGCTGTTGTTTTTTTTTCCTAAAAAAAAGCCTTTTAGTTTCTGGTTTCTAATTTACTTTTTTTTTAATTCTATAACTGTATTCTCTGAATTTAGATGAGAATTTAGATATATAAATATGTAAGAGCAGGTACAATAACCATGTTCATTAGGCTCCATGAAACGCCACATCAGACTTCAGATGAGCTAGAAGAGAGATTTAGAGAGAGAAAAAAAATGTCGGGGACAAGGTGGGTCTCCTGAGTTACAGACTTTCTCGTGAGATTTATATAAACTCTCCGGCACAATCTTCAAAGCAAGGTGGGTCTCGTGAGTTACAGACTTTCTCGTGAGCTATAATACAAATCAATGTGTGTGTTGCTTATTCAGATTCGTTGTATTTGGTTGTATCAAATTATCTCGTACGATTCAGATTCGTTGTATTTGGTTGTATCAAATTATCTCGTACGATGGAGGGGTACCTAATAGAGAAAAAAAAATAAGAGAGGAAGTTGGGACCCATCATATAATAAAATAAATTTTCTACATAATATAGGAGACAGTAAATTCTATTATATATTGTAAAAGTTATCAGTTAAGATATATACAGGTGACATGTCTAAAATTAGAGCCAGCAACTGATTGTACTATTCAACATCCATTAGAATCAACTGAATCTTTTACATGCATTTGGTATGCACCCCATGATGGCATTACCATTACCTACTCAGATAATTATATAAAATTTTAGAATTATAATAATATAAATTATATGCCACAAGTGTATGCACGAAATTAGTACAGGGCTAAATATAGTGTGCATTTGAATAAAAAAACATGCGAGAATAGTAATGCACAGTACAAATACATTTTTTTTTTATTTTGTTTGTCCGAGTGTTAATGGAATACTTGTCTTGATTTGTTTATCCGAAAATTTCTCGAGACCACGAAGTGAGCGTAGGTGACATATCCATTAACAACGAGACGCCCATAATGGCTTTATCAATCTTAAGATATGCGCAGCTTAATCTTTCAGAGGTGTTCATAGGATTGGGTGTGCGTGTATGCGCATGTTGTAAGCGTTTGTATTTATACTGTGTTTCTTAAAGACAATGCCTAGACTGTGCACATACATATATGCAAATGATTATAGATAAAGTGTTCAATAACGAGACATTCGTTATGACTTTGTCAATCTCAAGTTGTCTCCGGCCCAATCTTTTAGAGGTGTTTATAGGGTTGTGAGTGTGCATGTGTGAGCGTATGCATTTGTACCATGTTTTTCTTAAAAAAATATCTCGAGACCAAGGCGCACACATATATGCAAATGATTATAGACAATGTTGAACACTACAAATGGAACCATTGAAGGGGTCTAACAAACATATAAAAATATCGAAGGAAGCAGTTAACATCAGTTGACTGAAAACTTCAATTTCAAACGCCAAAATGACATTTCAAATTCCAGTATAAAATAACGGCTGATATTGTATGGAGTAGCTTGCTTATAGGTTACGGCCATTAGCTAGCATTGCCCCAGTGACCTCCAATTTCGGTCAAGCAACATCTTGTTCAAAGAAAGCTAGCTTGTCAGAAATGTCTGTCATTTATGAGTAGTTGAGAAATTATAAGTTTCAAGTAGAGTAAATATCATTCAAATAACTTAAGATGCTTTTTATGTATTTGCAACATTTGTTTAGGTTAAGTTTATTACTTCAAGGTTGGCCTCTTTCTTAATTTGTTTACCGGAATCATGTGTTGGTCATCTTGTTTAACCAAAGAAGAGTTGCAATTCAAGAATGCTTTCTTTCGTATGATTTTAGTTTGATATGGTTTATCTTGATCACCATACATGTTGTACACCACTAGATTATTTATCTTTCTTCCTTAAGCACACTTATCTCCGATATTTTTTACAAACTCTGGTTCAAATATTCAAACATATCATTTCTGTTAGTATGTATTGTACAAAACAATACTGCCACAAAGTTTACCACAAAAGCAAATAGTGTGCCTTAAATAGCTTTTGTACAAACCTAGCTAAGGTTCTACTCCCTCCGTTTTATAATGTAAGTCATTTTAGTATTTCTCATATTCATATTGATGTTAATGAATCTATATAGATATATATATGTCTAGATTCATTAACATTAATATGAATGTGGAAAATGCTAGAATGACTTACATTGTGAAACGGAGGAAGTAGTTGCATTTCCTTCCTTGGCAGTTGGTCCATAACGTGCCCTAAGTTTGAGCGGAATGCAAGTGTAACAATAGGCGAGCCAATTAAGCTGATCAAGATATGCTGAAGACACACTAGTCTATTAAGAATTTCAGATAACTGATCAAATCCGCACACAACAGAGGTTTACATCTGAAACAGCAAGGCATGATAAACAAGGAACAACTAGATGATCTAGAGCTGTAGAAAAGTGATATTGTCCACTCTGACTTAAAGAAATTGTCAGCAATAACTGCAAATGAAAGAAAAAAATACATATAGCTGAGACATGGCAACTTTGTTGCATCAAACTTAACCCCCTCCACTCTAAATATATATATAATTAAGAGATAGTAGACTGGTCGACAATCCAAATTTATCCACCCCTACAGAAAACTGAATCCTGTAAAAGAGAAGGAAAGGCACACAAAGTTCAGAATCAGTTCTCATATAGAGAAGTTTTCAATGTGCAGTTTAGTTGACAGATGAAATATGAAACAGATTCTGATGAGTATAAATTTCACTTGTCCGCCGGGCAGCTAAATCTGATTAATATGTTATTTATGTGATACGAGGTGAAAAAAAATGTTATGGACGTTAATTCATGGATAGAGGGTTCAAAGTCCAGGATTGGCAAGATAGTTTCATCTGCAAGGGCTAATCCTGGTGGCTGGGAGATCTTTTGATTAAGATAGACCTAGTTTTGTGATTCTTTATCTGCTTAATTAATAATGGGGTACATGGGTATTTTATATGGAGGGTCTTCCTGCTACAACAACGCAGATGCTACTTTCCTAAGAAACCATATCTCTAATTATTAATTAAAGCAATCTTCTTTCTAATTTTGTTGTTACTCTATTAGTACTGTCCTTGCTACAATTCCAAAGCCCATGACAACTAATGGTTTGTCATCAAATGGGAATATGAAGTTTCACTAAAAACAATCAGCTAAAGGTTTGCTTTCATAGATAAAAGAACCAAGAAAAAGATAAAGGAAAAATCTATGTCTAAACAGGGGTGACTAAGTAATGAGAAAATAATGTACTGGAGAAGTGCTTCATTGGCGATTCAAATGCATGCAGTTAGCTTTATGAAAAAGAGAAATGGATGATGCAAACGTCATTTCAACAAAGATGTGCTGCATTACGACCAATGGAAAATTGGATTCATTCATTCATTTTCCCCTAGAGGATTTGTGCAGTTGATGATTTTCTACTTCTTCCAATGCAATCAAGCATTTGTAAATTATTTTAGCTAGAAAGCTAACTTTTTGTAACACCTATTCAATGCAGTTATTCATTGATAGAAAACTAATAAGTCCAATATCCAGAATTATTAAACATATCAACATCTTGCCATACTGTGTATGGAACTCTGTTTAATGAAATAACCCTCTCCATGCATTTGTGGATACTACCTGCAAACAAAATGGCTTAGATTTTGTTCGTGCTACGTACCCACCAAATAAGTGCGGTGTATTCATTTCACAATTTATTTAGTCCTATTTTATTTATTTTTTCTGATAGACACAAAATAATTGCTGCTTTCATCCACACAGAGTTGAAGACAAATTTTAGATAAACTAAAATTAAGCATTAGAACAGTTAGTTAGCTTACGTATGTTACATGCACACAGGAACTTCAGAACTTTGGAAACATTCTCATCGACCACTTTGCATTTGACTTCCACTATGTTAAGGCGCTCTGATATTCCAGTTGGTCTGTCCATCAAACCAAAACTCCCATTCAATTCTACTTTATGTTCAGGTCCCTGAAGAAAACAAGGACATTATACTAAGGTCAATCAATAGCGTATAACAACTTTTAATCTGTTGAGAGAATATATATACCTTGGAAAAAAGATGAAGAGTAAGCTTCTCGAGAACCGGTGAGTGTTTGAGAATGCAGCTTAATGCATGGAAGTCAGGGGCCACACACCAGTGGTCATTTAGCAATAAAGTCTTCAGCTTGCTAAATGTAGGGCACCATTGCAAGTCCCTTTTGAAAATAAACTAAACAAAACACAGGACAAAAGATCAACTAATGTCACACAGAATGCAATGTACAACTCAATCATTCGCATTCTATATGAGATCAAAATGCTGTTTGAGATTTAGCTCCTTTGTAAATGTCCAGCAGTAGACACAGATAGTACCAACAGATGAACACAAGAATTAATGGCTCTATAACATATACAGGAGTTAATGTTAAAAGCAAGAATTTAAGCATACCGTTTTGCATTCAGCTGTCAATGCCAAATTCTTAGCTTCTGATAAACCATTCAGAAGCACACAGTTTCTGTTGTCATCGATGGGATAACAGTACTTGCAATCCTCAAAACCACAATACCCAGAATCAGCATTTCCACAAACGTCAGAACATCCAGCGGTGACTCTGACAGTTGCCTCTGCTAACGATGGCATACTCTCAAGTAGAGGAGTCTTCGAATTGCTGTCCAGCTGCAGTGAAACAAGACTGGGGACACAGATTTTAGTGCGGAAGCTAGTACCGACAACGAAAGAGCATCGAGTGATGATCAAACGGAGTAGTGACCCGGTGGATGATGAGATAATCCTGGGACATGATACGGTGGAGTTGGCAATCTTTACATGTTCCAGCGCCGGGCAGCTCGAGAAGTTGCAGAATCTGTTGGTTAGCTCGAGGTTAAAGAGCTCTAGCCTCGTCAGGTGGCGAGAGACAAGAGGCAAATCATCCAGCTCAAAGCTTCCACTGCAGATGTTGTTGAGCACGAGATTACGAACCTTGGAGGCAACAGCACTCCGGATCCAGAGATTCACCCGGCGGGCATCGTTCTTGCTCTCCTCGTCCTCCTCGTCGTCGTCCTCGTCGCTGTCAAACCAGAACTTGAGCTCGCACATGTCGAGAGGCGCGCACCCGCGGAGGAGCAGGAGGTGGTCGACGAACACCCTGATCTCCCGCACGCGCGCCGTGTCTTCCTCGTCGCTCCCAATCCTCAGCCCCGTGGCGGACTTCCAGAGGTCGCGCCAGCGGTGGGCGAGCACGCACGTCTGCACGGCGTCCCGCGCCGGCAGGAACGACAGCATGTGGTGGAGCACCTCGTCCGGGAGCGCGCCGACGCGGTCTTCGCCTCCGCCGCCGTCCAGGTCCATCATCCTCCGGCCCCTCTTCGCCGGAGGCATTCCGTCGAACAGGCGGCGTGCGCGCTGCACTGCGAGCGCATGCAAGAAGCAGGTTCAGTACGACGCAATGCAAGAGAACGGGAGAGAGATCGAGAACGACGGCGCACTCACCGGATCACCTCCGCCTCCGCCTCACCGGAAGGATTTGAGCTCGCGCGCCGAGGCCGACGGCGAAGCAGGGGGCGGTGCGGCGGGCGAGGCGGCGAGGTATGAACCAGGTTAGGGTTTTCGGGGATAGAGGCGGCGGCGAAGGCGATCGAAACGTCCGTTAGAATAGACTGGGATATTCTACACTTGTCTAATCTGCTGTGCATCCCCCGATTGCTGTAGTTGGAGACTTGGAGATAAAAGGGGTGAAAATAGTCGCGGAAATTTCTAGCGATATTAAATACTCCCTCCATCCTATTATAAAGGATTATTTTCTTTTGGATAAATTTAAGGATAGCAAATAAATACTACAATGCTCACATTAAATGATATTTGATTATAGGTGAGTGAGTAGTTGAGAGTTAAAATAGATAAAAAATTGAATTGGAGTTTATTGATGTGACAAGTAGTACACCAAAATCTCTTATATTATGGTACAACTAGAAGGGTAAAATCCTAGGACGGAGGGAGTATGCTCGTTTCCGATTTTTTATACGTTGAGCAATATGAAAATGGTTGGCAACAAAAAAAATAATTATGGAAGTGGAAAAAAATGATTTTACAGATCGTTTTCAAATTTTATCCTTACAACAAAATTATAATTACCATATTCCTAAATACGTTAATATTTATGATCCATTTCTTTATTTGACTCGTAGTTTAATTAGAGACTCATCAACAACTCAATCCACTTCCTAACTTGTGTACAAAGTTAAAAAGAAGATAATTTGTAATTAACATAGTGTAACCTTGAATTTATTTCGTTATATTGTATAGTTATGCAAAATTATATATTATGATTTTATGGTATAATATTTTCGATATGTATTACGCCATCCATCTCAAAATATAACTACTTTAGCCTTCAGAATTTATCTCAACATATAATAACTTTTTCACCAACATTATCTTCCCAACCAATCGTAACCTTCCACCATTCAATTTTCTACCTACTTCTTTTCATCCAATCAAAACCTTCTTCCATTCAACTCAACATACTTTCTTAATAACCATGCCCAACCCTATAAGTAATTATATTATGGGATAGAGGTAGTATATGGTTTCAACCATACTAACATGTTTCCACCAGTATGGTTTCCATTCCCTATTTTTGATATTTTCAATACTGTTTTCATTTATGGCTTTGTTGTTTTCGATTATATTTCTAGGAAAAAAAATATGGTTATGGAAATGGTAAGACATTTTCCGACCGTTTACATCCATAGTTTAAGACTTCGAGTTTACCTTGCAATAAGCCTTGTACACCCTCCAATTCAAAATGCATGTATGACGCTGTAGATTAATGTTGACGTAGGTTTTGACATAGATTCGGGAAGCGGAAGCATGAGACCAAGAAAAGGCATATGGATAGTGTGTAGTGGCAGCGTAAAAGTATCTACCATATATTCTCGATGCACCAATGGTGGAGGCATATGCTTTGACTTTGAGAGATGGCTTACTGTTGGCCCTAAGCTTGGGAATCAATAGGTTTGTTATTCAGTCCGATTGCATGCATGTTGTAATACCATGTTCAATGGAGTATTTTCGACAACGATGACGCTAGCTTGATATAAACGAAGAATGTAATCTACTATGGAGAGATTTTTATAGCATTTCTATTGAACATTTTAATAGGGAAGCAAACAAAGTTGCTCATGAATTGGCCAACGTAGCTTTTAGTAGAAAAGATTTTTGTATTGGGTCCATGAACCTCCTGACTTTATTCTAAGCACTTTAGTTAACAATGTAACTATGTTGTTCGAACAATAAAGCTACCAAATGACATTCTCTCTAAAAAATAGTAAATTTCACTTTAGGCCACATTTTATTACCAATGTTTCACTCTGAACCACCCTTTCACTAATGTTTTTATTTTAGACTGGGTAATGTTGCATTTGTTGTACTTTGAACCACCCGATTCTCTTTCATGCATATAAACGATCTCGAGTATGTTGGCTACTATTCGTCAATAAACTCTCATAACTACGTAAGATTATTTCTTTAACATATAACAAGTTGAATGTAGATGAATAAAAGAGTTGAAGGTGATCCAAAGTGCTACAAAGGTAAAGATACCCGGTCGAAAGTGAAAACATTAGTTAAAGGGTGGTTCAAAGCAAAATATCAGTAACAAAAAGTGATCCAAAGTAAAATTTACATTAAAAATAACTTGGTTGAGAGTTATTGCCTTATTGGACTTCTTTTTCCTTATCCTGGCTGTTTGAGGGAAAGAAATGCAAAGTATCTGCTTTGCACATCAATTTCGGATCAAAGCATTAATTTGGAACTAGATAGACACTAAGAGTTATTTGTATATCTCAAATTACACTAAGAGTTATTTCGGATCATGAAAAATGTTAAGCTCAAATCATGAAAAAACAATCCTCTAAATTCTATCATAATTTTAGTTTTTTTCCTTGTTGTAACGCACAACCACTTTGCTAGAATAACTTAATAAATCACATGGTTAAATGTTGCCAATGAAATATAACTTACATGTTGTGAAAAAAAAATCGATGCTCCGAATTTTGATAGATTGACTGGCCAAGGTGGATTAACAAATAACCGACAGGCATTCCTAACAAATAACTGACATCATTAAGTAGGCAAACTTCTTCAAAAGTACGTTCGAATATAGACAGCATTGGACATAGTGTTCATCCTATTTCTGCAAATTTAATATGTGATTTACTGGTAACTATTCGGGGAATTTGCAAATTTGCCATTGGTTTTTTCAATTTTGCAAGGATACCACTCGAATGACAGTTTCAGTGGCATTTTTATAATTTTCTAGTGGCAGTTTTGCAATAACGATTCAAAGTAGTGGTAATTTGGAATTGCCGCTAACTATTTAGTTTAAGGATTAATAATTACAATAAATAAAAAACTCTGGGCGGACGAAGAGGTCGTCGACGTCAGGGGACCGAGCAGCACTGTGAGGAACCAGGCATGGGTAGTCCCGTACCAGTTTATCCATCGTGCAGAGCTTTTGATCCAATAAGAACCCATAGGCACTAAAATGCAAAGCATTCTCCGAACATATCTAACTCCAATAGAGTTTTCACCTATGGGTAAACTGACAAACAGGTACCATTGCCATCCCTAATAGCAACCAGTTACGAATCCAGAAGTCTGCCCTTCAGGCTACTCACGGAGAAAAACACATCATGTTATCATCCTTGTGGTGTCAACCTTCTGAATAATCAAAAGGTGGTGCATCAATCATCTTCATCTTCGTCATCCTCTTCTTCCTCTTCCTCCTCCTCTCCATAAAAGTCGTCATCATCATCTTCCTCATCCTCTTGGTCATTGTCATCACTGTCATCTTCTTCAGAAATCTTGACTTGCTCAAAACTGAAAACTGCATGAATATGAAAAGCGTTGTAAGCTCCATTCACAAATTCACTTAAAGTTATAATTACTTCAAAAAGAGAACTTCAAATTCATTGACAAATTTAGTCCATTGGATCAGTTCTTCAAAATACAAATTGACATAACTACTTCACTATTTCTCCAGCAATAAAATCTGATTATATCCACTACTTATTCAAAGAAGAGAAACATAATAAAATGCCCTCCCTTAGAGAATGCACTGGCCCTTTACAGCATGGTTGCATCCTATACTGCAGAGTTGATGGATTCTCTATAGCCTAGCACATGATAATAAAGAAAACGACATGGTCCACGGACTATAACATGATAATTCTGGTAATTAGTAAACAAAGATGCTTACACTCCAGACTTCATTAGACATACGCTGTGGTCTCACAAATATAATATGGTGATGCCAAAAAAACATTGAGATATCTTGGCCAAACAAAAAAAAGCTAAGCAATCATATCTAATTATTGGCAATCATAACTAGCTGCTCTGACTAGCAAGATGGCAAAGTGCAGCCGTCTGGCATACTCGACACCTCTGGTAGGGTAAGCTTTAGCACTATAGAAGAATAGTATTTTTCTCACATTAGTAGAATTTGAAAAGGAGATAAGCAGCCTATGAGGTACTTTGTTCACATGGTAAATGACATGCGAGCGAGTTGTAAGAGCAAGACAACAAGTAATAAACTGGAATTCAAGACGACAGCATCGATATCTCAAAAATATATAACTGATGGGAAACAAAATCAATCAAATGTTTGAAACATATAATTAAAAACATATTACAAACATGTCATATTGGTTATGTGATGCAAGAAAATTTTAAGAAGTATTTGTATAGCTTGTGGATACTACCAAGAACCAACCAAAATGGTACATTAGATAATGTCTTCCAATGAGATCAAATACAGAGCATGCTTTCATTTCCCATTTACCCTGTTCATAGCATACATTTCCATCTAATAGTTGGAATACTGCTTCTTATGTTTCATGCATATGAAGGTAAAGGAAAAATTCTGAAATATAGAAAGAATGAAGTATGTTATTTACGTATGTTAAATGTAGACAGGTACTTCAAAACTTTGAGTACTCTCTTATCAACCACTTCACATCTGATTTCAACTGTCTCAAGGTGTCCTGATATTGCAGCTGATCTATCCATTGGATGACAGTTTCCTTTGATTTTCATTGTATGCTTAGGACCCTGCCAGAAATACAAACATTTTTTTCTAATATAAAAAAAATGTTTAATGACTTCAACAAGGTACTAGTTGTCCAATTAGAGAAGGTATACCTCGGAATAGAGCTGAAGAATGAGATTCTCTAGAACTGGTGCATGTTCAAGAATGCAGGCTAGTGCACTAAACTCATCAGGCACACACCAGTATTCATTGAGTAATAAAGTCTTTAACTTGCTAAATGTAGGGCACCATTTTAAATCCCTATTGAAAATAAACTGGACAATAGAAAAAGAAAGGATAAACAAGTCTCATACTGAATAAGATAATTCAAAAGACAATAATTGACTAGAATGGATGTGAATAAGATAATTCAAAAGACATCTTCATGAACATCCAGATGTTGATATAGAAACAACAATAGAAATAATGGGAAATATAATTGAATTAACATGCAAGCATACCGATATGGTTCCATCAATCAATGCCAAAGTCTTAGCTTCTGATAAACCATCCAGAAGAACACAATTGTTGTCGTCCTTGATGCCATGACATGACTTACAGTGCTCATTACCACAATCACCGGAGTTAATATAATCATACCCACAACAATCATAAGTCCTGTGGACAACTCTGACAAATGCCTCAACTAATGATGGCATCCTCTCAAGCACTGGAGTACGGCGATAAAAATCATCAAGCCGCAGTGAAACAAGACTTGGGACACAAATACGAACCCGTGATGTTTGACTGAATTTGCAGCGAGTGATGCGCAGAAGTTTTAGGGACTCTGATAAGATCTTGTCACATGGCAACTCACAGCGGTCAAATTCTAGATGTTGCAAAGCCGGGCATCTGGAGAAATCAAGGAAACTTCCCACCATCCGTACACCGTGAAGCTCAAGCATCGACAAGTGCCGTGAAACAAAAGGCAGGATGCCTAGATTAATCTGGTGATAGAAGGCTGTATTCTGCCGGATGGAGACCTGGAGAAACTGAACCATACGCAGCAGAGCATGCTTAATCCAGAGGTTTAGCCGGGATGTCTCGTTGAGGTCTTCGCTGAACACGATGAACCTGAGCACACATGTGTGGAGAGGCACACTTTCACGGAGCAGCAGAAAATGGTCCACGAACCCCTGGAGACCCTTCACGGTCCACAGCTTCCTCTTGTCACGGTCACCAATGCGCAATGCCGTGACAGACTTCCAGAGGTCGAGCCACCGCTTGGCGAGCACGCACGTCCTCACGGCATCCTGCGACGGCAGGAAGGAGAGAACGTGGTGGAGCACTGTGTCCGGGAGAGCCCCAATGTGGTCGGCGTCGGTCGGCAAAGGCTCTTCCATCCCCTCCTTCCCCGTAGGCATTTCGTCGAACAGGCCACGGGCGTTAGCGCTCTGCGAAACAGAAACCGATCAGACGACTGAAGAAGGGGGCGTGGATGGCCCGAAGAGGCTGAAACACGGAGGACGCCTCGCCAGTGCGGGCACAGCCACAGAGCACCTCGCCTCGCCTCGCCGCCGGCACCGTCTCCACCGGCCGGAGTTACAGCAGCAGCAGCAGCAGGGAGACGCAGCACGGCCCGCTACCAACGGCGGCGACGCTCGCTGGGTTCGAGGCGATCGGATCGCGCGGATGGAGGAGAACCAGGCGAGGGATCACCGTGGAATGGAAGAATCGGGAGGAGCGCGGCGGCGGCGGCGCGACGACCCCGAGAAAAGGAGGAAGGCGGTGGTTAAAGAGAGAGAGAGAGAGACGTGTGACACGTGTCCACGTCTCACGGAGGCGATAGGCCTTCACTTCACTTCGGCCTTGTTTGGATGGGCCTAGGCCCATACACGTTCATGGGCCTGTATGAAAGCCTATCCAAACGAGGCCCTCCTTTTTTTTTTTGCGAAATAAGATCACAGAGGAATTTTTTTTTAAGGTAAAGAGAGATTTCATTAATGACTATACAAAGGATTACATCCTTGGTTCAGGACTTCAGGAGATCAAGAATTTCTGCAGGAGCACATAATCTTCATTCCGCATCAATTCCTGAACCCATTACCATTTGGGCTAAAGCAATGAGCTATCTTGTTAGAATATCTCGTTATCTTGTGCATCTGCATCTGTGTCAAACACTGTGACGGAGCGTGGGGCTCCTCACCGGGAGACCGTGCAGGCCCCCTTGCCGGTTCGGCCGGGGGCCCTGGGTGAGATTCTAAGCTCCTAGTCTGTGTGTGGAAGGTTCGCGAGAATGGAAACACACAAGACACGGGCGATGTATACAGGTTCGGGCCGCTGAGAAGCGTAATACCCTACTCCTATGTTCTGGTGGATCTGTGTATGAAGAAGCTACAAAGTGCGAGCCAGCCCCCGATCGTTCTGGGATCGTTTTTTTCTCCTCTCTCTAAGTGGGCAAGGTCCTCCTTTTATATCTCAAGGGGATACCACATGCACCATCTCTCCCTCTCTTTCTTTTGTGTGGGGACTCATCCTCTCTTCCCTCCAACTTCACTTCTCTTCATTAATGGATGGAGATTTGTATGGCTGCCGTCCGAATGACCTTCTGATGGGACGGCCCATACCTACCTCCACTTCCGCCGGAAGCAGGCGCGACGTGGGAACATGGCTGTCTGCTGACGACATGACCATTGTCAGACCGGTCACAAATCGGTCATTCTTGTCCACCACGTGTCAGTTTAACAATCTGCATGTTCCCCCTTCTTCATACAATATCTTGCCTGTAATGGTTAGGATGAAGCCTGGCATATATCTGACCGGAACCAACGTGCCATCTCCAGGAGCTAACACGCCGGCTCCGGCTAGGGACGAGTGCTTGGAGGCTCTCGTCCTGACGGGATGGGGCGAGGCGTGCGTCAGACTGCCTGTCGCCACCTAACCCACGATCTGACCGGTCCGTGACTGATCACAGACCGGATGAACGAGCGCGCTGCACTGCGTTACATGCGGCGTGACGCGCTCGTCCAAACCGCAATAAATGCGGTTAGGTGAGCGCCGCCGCTGCGCTCACCTAACCCATACGCGCGGCGCAAAATCCACAAGGGGTCGGGGCGCCCCAGCCCTCGGGGCCGAAACGGGAGCGGTCCGACCCCCTCGGGGAGACAAAGAGGAGGGCGAACACATCACCCTCGGGCCCGACGCCCCCCGAGGGTGCCAGGCCACGTGGGCGATTGTGTCTGCCTCAAGCCTCTAGTCATGATACTCCCGGTCCCATGTCACCGACAGTAGCCCCCGGCGTTATGCCAGGGCGATCGCCCTCCCCGAGGGAAGCGGTCGGGCGTGACGCCACTTCTAAGGCCTGGTGACAGGTGGGGCCGGTTCCTACAGGTGCCGTCGAACTACATCACCCAGAGGGCGGTGTGAGGCAGCTGCGATGGGCTCGAGCTGGCCTCGGGGGCGGAGACGAGCTCGGGAGCTGGGGTCCACTCCACCACAAAGTCGGCGAGGGCCTGGCTCTTGATCGCGTGGCTTGGTTCAAAGCGCAAATCGAATTCAGAGAGTTCGATTGCCCATTTCACCACCCGTCCAGTACCCTCTCGGTTATACAAGATTTGGCCGAGGGGATAAGACGTAACCACCGTGACCCGATGCGCCTGGAAATAATGGCGCAACTTCCTCGAAGTTATCAGGATAGCGTAAAGCATCTTCTGGGCCTGAGGGTATCGGGTCTTGGCGTCCCGGAGGGCCTCACTAACAAAGTAGACGGGCCGCTGCACCTTTCGGTGGGGCCGATCCTCTTCGCTAGGGGCCACATCTCCAGGGCGCTCTCCATCCGAGAGGCCACGCGGGGCGCACTCGGCTTCTGTGCCGACGACCTCGGGGTCAGAGGGCGACAGGCGCGGCCTTCCCACAGTGGCCTCGGGGCCATCCTGGGGGTCGGGGGCGCCTGGCACCGTCGGACAAGCAGGCGGAGGGCCAGCTCCGGCCGTCGGGGGCCTTGGGCCGCCGTTCGGCTCGGGGGCCTCTCCTCCCTGCTCTCTCTTCGGGCAGAATCCCGGCGGTCGCAAATCGCGCGCATCAGCAAGGGAAAACCGACCGACAATAATGAGCGGCCCCTCGGCTCGCGTTTGCCTTCAACTCCGACGAGGAGTGCGGTGACGACGGTGCGGACGACAGCGACGGCGAGGCCGGCTACCCGGGCGCGTCGGAGTGAGCCCCCAGGCCTCCGCCAATCTTAATAGCTTTTCCTTCTTCTTCCGAGGCCTTCGGGCCCCCTTCTTGTTATAGGCTGATTTAATCTGCAATCAAATAAAGAGGAAATTTTTGTGTCAATTTCATTTGTTCTGTGTATGAGACGAGGATGGTCTGTGCCACGGTCCTTCTGTGTCTTGGCTTGAACAAGGGCTCGTGCCTAGGTCCCAGCCTCAAACGGCGCGGGTCAAGGCTAGTGCCTGGGGAGATCCACATGTCGAGACTGGCCAGGCCGGGAACGTGGTGACCGAGGGTTATGGGTGACCCGATTGTGGGTTTTTGCCGATTCCCTCCCGGAGTTCACCACGTCCCGGGGCACGGCTCGGTTCTGGGCCCCTTTTGGCGATTTTAGCCGACCCGAGCCCCCGAGGGTGGGATTGAGCACGAGTGACCTATTTCAAGTCAAGATTCTTCAAAAGGAAACAAAAGCACAGACACAGCCTTTAGGAAATCGAAAATGCTTTTATTGAAATACGGAAGAGAAAAAAGATAAGCCCCCGGCCAACCTTGCACGCCCGAGGGGGTGCGGGGTTGGCCCGAGCCCAAGACCTGACACCCGACCCCCACTAGGGGTAGAAGCGACGAAGGTGTTCGATGTTCCACGGGTTAGGCAGCTCTGTGCCGTCGCCCGTGGCCAGCCGAACGGAGCCCGGCCGGGGGACGCCGATCACTCGATACGGACCCTCCCACATTGGTGAGAGTTTGCTCAGTCCAGCACGCGTTTGGACACGGCGTAGGACGAGGTCGTCGACGCAGAGTGATCGGGCCCGGACGTGGCGCTGATGGTAGCGCCGCAGGCTCTGCTGGTAGCTCGCGGCTCGAAGGGCCGCGCGCCACCTTCGCTCTTCCAAGTAGCCGAGGTCAGGGAGCGTCGGCTTCCTTCTTTTTGTCGCTCGCAGGCCTCCCCTTTCGGGTGGCCAGCGAAACGCCTTCGACGGCGAGGACATGACCCTCGTCGTCGGAATGGGCTGACCTCTTCTTCCTCCTCCTGTCACGCCGCCCTGTCCGAGCAGCAGATCCGGGGACGGCCGAAGCTGCCACACCGGAACCGGAGGGGTTCCAGGTCCATGCCTCTTCCTTACGAGCCACTCGGTCCGCGAGCTGAAAAAGCTCCGCGGTAGTCTGGAGCTCTTTGGAGGCGATCTTTTCGATCATGCGGTTGTGCCGCACACCCCCCCTGAACGCGTAGATCACCGCGTGTGCAGGGATGCATGGTATGGTGTTGCAGACTTGACAGAACCGCTGAATGTATGAGCGAAGTGACTCATCATCCCTTCGCTGGACTGCATGTAAGTCCGCTTCTTCACCTGGGCGCGGATATGTGCCTTGAAAGTTCATGGTGAACTGTTGGCACAAATCCTCCCAAGAGTGGACGGACGCGGGTGGCAAGTTCATTAGCCAACCCCGTGCCTGTCCCTTCAGGGCCATGGGAAAGAAATTCGCCATGACCCTGTCGTCACCCCCGGCGGCCTCGATCCCGGTCGTGTAGACTTGGAGAAACTCGGCGGGGTTGACGCTCCCGTCATATTTTTCGGCGATGGTGGGCCGGAACCTTGGGGGCCAACGGACGTTCCGAAGGCTCGCCACAAAGGCTCTACAGCCGACACCACCAACCGGGGGCACGAAGGGCTGATCCCCGCGTCCGTGTTGATGTGACACTCCGGACGAGGAGGCGCCCTCCGTTGCGTGGGCAGCACGTCGACCATTACGCCGGCGCTCGATACTGATGCGGGCATCCGGCCCCCCACGCAGATCTTCCTGGGTCGGAGGCGCTGACGAAGGAGTGGCGGCCGAATGGCGAGCAACAGCCGCCGCTCGCCGCGCCCTCCGCCTTGACGACACGGAGCCGGTGGTAGCAGCGCCAGAGGTCTTGGTGGCGGAGGACCGCCCACCAGCACCTAGGCGCTGCCGTGCCGTCATGACCAAGTTGGCCACGTCGTCCAGCCAACGTTGGGCTGGAGACTCCGGGTCAGGGACAATGGGCGGGTGACGTAGGAGCGCGCCCGCAGCTTGGAGCGCGCCCTGGGGCGTGCTGCCGTCGCCGTAGACGAGGAGGCGACGCTCCCCACCTCGCCGCCCTTCCCCATCACCCGTGGATGTCGAAGTCGCGGATCCTTCGACCCTCTCGAGCGCCTCCTCCCGCCTAGGACTTTGGCGTGGAGGGGGCGGTGGAGTACGAGCTCGACGGCGTGGGTTTGGCTCCCCGTCGTCACCGCTAACACTCGGAGAGAGGTTGTGCGCCTTTGCTTGTTCAGCCATTGGGCTGAACAGGAAAAGCTTGGCGCACACGAAAGAGTGCGAGAGCTTAGAAGAACACACGCAGAACCCCCTACCTGGCGCGCCAGATGACGGCGCGTGGGGCTCCTCACCGGGAGACCATGCAGGCCCCCCTTGCCAGTTCGGCCGGGGGCCCTGGGTGAGATTCTAAGCTCCTAGTCTGTGTGTGGAAGGTTCGCGAGAATGGAAACACACAAGACACGGGCGATGTATACAGGTTCGGGCCGCTGAGAAGCGTAATACCCTACTCCTGTGTTCTGGTGGATCTGTGTATGAAGAAGCTACAAAGTGCGAGCCAGCCCCCGATCGTTCTGGGATCGTTTTTTTCTCCTCTCTCTAAGTGGGCAAGGTCCTCCTTTTATATCTCAAGGGGATACCACATGCACCATCTCTCCCTCTCTTTCTTTTGTGTGGGGACTCATCCTCTCTTCCCTCCAACTTCACTTCTCTTCATTAATGGACGGAGATTTGTATGGCTGCCGTCCGAATGACCTTCTGATGGGACGGCCCATACCTACCTCCACTTCCGCCGGAAGCAGGCGCGACGTGGGAACATGGCTGTCTGCTGACGACATGACCATTGTCAGACCGGTCACAAATCGGTCATTCTTGTCCACCACGTGTCAGTTTAACAATCTGCATGTTCCCCCTTCTTCATACAATATCTTGCCTGTAATGGTTAGGATGAAGCCTGGCATATATCTGACCGGAACCAACGTGCCATCTCTAGGAGCTAACACGCCGGCTCCGGCTAGGGACGAGTGCTTGGAGGCTCTCGTCCTGACGGGATGGGGCGAGGCGTGCGTCAGACTGCCTGTCGCCACCTAACCCACGATCTGACCGGTCCGTGACTGATCACAGACCGGATGAACGAGCGCGCTGCACTGCGTTACATGCGGCGTGACGCGCTCGTCCAAACCGCAATAAATGCGGTTAGGTGAGCGCCGCCGCTGCGCTCACCTAACCCATACGCGCGGCGCAAAATCCACAAGGGGTCGGGGCGCCCCAGCCCTCGGGGCCGAAACGGGAGCGGTCCGACCCCCTCGGGGAGACAAAGAGGAGGGCGAACACATCACCCTCGGGCCCGACGCCCCCCGAGGGTGCCAGGCCACGTGGGCGATTGTGTCTGCCTCAAGCCTCTAGTCATGATACTCCCGGTCCCATGTCACCGACACACTGCATCGCCGCTTTAACTTATGAGATTATGCCACTCCAATATACTCTTGAGACACTTGTTGCGTTTAAATCAGTAACAACGCTGTCATTGTCCGATTCTGAGATCACAGAGGAATTATGAGATCACATAAACAAGTTACAGAAGGAAGTGCAAAGCATACCGATAGCTGTGTTCAGTGGTGATTGTTGGGAACCTATCATCAACGCAAGGAAAAGAGCGATCCATTAGTGTATGATTAATTAAGTATTAGCTATTTTTTTAAAAAAATGGATCAATATGATTTTTTTAAGCAACTTTTGTATATAAACTTTTTTTAAAAAAAACACACCGTTTAGTAGTTTGACAAGCGTGTGCGCGGAAAACGAGAGGGGGAGTTGGGAACTCCTGTATCAAACACGAGAAGGGGGAGTTGAAAAACTTTTTAAAAAACACACCGTTTAGTAGTCTTGAGTATAGTCGAGAACCCTAACGAATGCATCAACTAATGCTGGCATCCTCTCAAGCACTGGTGTCCAGTCACATAAGTCATCCAACCACAGAGAAACAAGGCTCGGGATATCGATATGCACACGCGCAAGGTCTCACTGAAATTGGAATCAGTAATGCTCAAGAGCTTCACGGAGCTAGATGAGATCTTGGCACACTCAAGTATACAATAGTCAAACACTAGATGCTCCAATGCTGGACAGCTCGAGAAGTTGAGGAAGATGTCGTTTAGCTTTTGTACCGTGAAGTTGTAGCCTTGTCAAGTGCCGGGAGACAAGAGGCAGCTCATCGATCGGAACCGGGTCAAAATTGACATCATTCTGGCAGACTCCCGAGCTCGAGGAACCGAACCTTGCGGAGCAGAGCATGCCTGATACCAGAGGTTCAGCCGGGCAATGTCGTCGATGCCCTCGCACTCACGGAACCTTAGCACGAACGTGCCGAGAGGCGCGCTGTCACGGAGTAGCAGCAGATTCTCAATGAACCTTCGGCGTTCCTTGATGCTTCCCAGGGTTGATCTCCGCCGATGCGCAGCCTCGTGGCGGACTTCCAGAGGTGGCGCCAGTAGGAAGGAGAGCACGCGGTGGAGCACCTCGTCCGGGAGGGCCCCTATCCGGTCGACGCCGGTAGAACAAGGCGCTCTCTTGGCCTTCTTTCGCTGACGCATTCCGTCGAACAGGTTGTGGGCGTGGGCGTGGGCGCGCCCCACTGCGATGCAAGAAGCCAAGAACCCGCTCAGGCGACACAAAGAGCGGAGATACCGGGGGGAAACAAGCAGAAGTGGCCTCTCCGGGTCGCCGTCGGCAGCTTCGCGTGAGGCGACGGCGCGGCGGCAGGAGTACGTGTGAGGATGAACGGAGGAATCGCCGGATCGGAGGAAGACGATGGGCAAGGGCAGTGAGGAGATGGAGCCTGACAAGTGGGCCACCCTGTTTTTATGTTCAAAAAGAGAATCTGAATTCCAGCACAATTAGGGTTGTTTTAATCGCATGAGTGAAAAAAAGAAGGAATGTGAAAAACACATTATTCTAACAGAATACAAATAGAGGATTATAAAACGTAAAAAAAAAACTCATGAAACACCGTTTGATTAGATTAGCAGGAAAACACACAAAATCGGATAAGAGAGATACACTCGAAAAATTTTTTTCAAGAAATTAGAGCTCTTGCTAAGTTTTCTTCAAAATCTCTATAGAACTATCCATTTCATAGAAATTTCAAAGGATATGATAGTATTCTTTTCTCTATTTCAAAGGTCTTCATAGAAAAAATTTTCCTTCCAAAATAAAAACCTCCAAAATTTCTTGGTTTTTTCTAGAAATCAAATGGATCCTTGGTATGTGAAAGGATAGGATGCTTTTTTTTTCTGAAAATACTCTTATTCTTGGCTTCGAAGAGAAAAAAACAATGCTATCATCCTTGTGGATTAGGGCAGCACCACTGTCTGAACGATCAATCCATCAAATATAACTAGGCATGCAACGAACTAACTAGGCTATTGACATGTTAATAGCAGCTCAGCTATTGATTTGAGTCACAATGCATATAGCTTAGATCAGTCAAGAAATCTAGCCAAAAAGAAAGCAAACAAACTAAAACATGCATGATCCAGAGAGGAAAACAGCATAAATGTAGCCACTGGAGCCATTCTTAAAAGGGATAAATTAGCACTACTTGGTGAAATAGGTCCTTTTACAATCAATTTCAAACCATCCGCATATGAGAAACCCATTTCTAGGTAGACACTAGACAATGTAAACGGCCCATTACAAGGCAAAGCTAAAGTTCTTTGAAGAAACACATAGAGGAAAGATAACGTAGTTCCCAGCTCAAACTTCTAATTGTCAAGAACTTGTGCATCAAGCCTTTTTCGTCATCATCATGATCATCTAACTCTCAATCGTCGCTTCCTCCAAACTGAAATCTGCACAATATGAAAAGTGCCATGCATTAGAATTAAGTTCATAGCCATCCAAGGAAACCTGAAATGCACTAACAGACTTCTATTTAAGTTCATAGCTACTCAAACCACAAATTAACATGGCATTTTGTTACATTCTAGGAGTGACAGCTAGCAGTAGTAATGCACCAGTTCATGGCAAGAAAAATAATCCAGTGGCTCCTCAGAACAGAGTTACAGCCTAAATAGCAGAGTGGCATTCAGTGAAGGAAATTCTCAAAACTGTAAAAGAAAAGGTATGAAGATCTTACATATTTTAAATGTTGACAGGTACTTCAAAACTTTAAGAACCTGACCATCAATCGCATTGCATTGAACTTCAACTATCTGGAGGTGTTCTGATATTCCAGCTGATCTCTCCATTGGATTGAGAATTCCTTTAATTTTATTTGTACGTTTATATGCCTGTAGCAAATAAAAAACATTACACAAAGATAAATATAAAATGCGTGATGCTAAGTAATAACTTTACGAGGCAACAGTTGTCAATTTAAATAAAATATACTACCTGGTAACCAAGCTGGAAAACGAGTTTTTCTAGGGCTGGCGAGTGTTCAAGAATGCGAGCTAGCATGTGAGAATCATCAGGCACACACCAGTACCCATTGAGTATCAAAGTCTTTAACTTGCTAAATGTTGGGCACCATTTCAAATCCCTTTTGAAAATAAACTGAGCACCATGCAAACAAGAACATAAACAAATCCTCAGGGTTCAAATGGATATAAGCACCGTAGAAAGAAATAATTGGATAATATAACAGACTTAAAGATGGAAGTGCAAGCATACCGATTCATCTTCGTTTATCAGCACCAACATCTTAGCTTCCGACAAACCTTCCAAAAGCACACAATTTTTGTTCGTGAAACCATAACAAGATTCACAGCCGTCACGACCACAATCCCCAGAGTCAGATTCACCACAGAAGTCTTCACTAGAGCTTGGGACACTGACAAATGCATCAACTAATGATGGCATCCTCTCAAGCACTGGCTTACGGTCATAGATGCGATCCAGCCGCAGAGAAACAAGACTCGGGATATCAATACGAACCCGTGAGGTCCCAGCGGGGAAATTGGAAAACGTGATGCTCAGATGTTTTACGGAGTTAGATGAGATCTTGGCACACTCAAATACGCATGACTCAAACACTAGATGCTCCAATGATGGGCAGCTTGAGAAGTCAAGCAAGCCGTCGTTTAGCACTATACCATAAAGCTGTAGCCTTGTCAAGTGCTGAGAGACAATAGGCTGCTCATCTATCGGAACCGGGTTGCCAAATTCCTCTTCCTGCCAGACATCGAGTCGAAGGAACCGAACCTTGCGGTGGATAGCATACCTGAACCAGACGTTCAGCCGGAATATGTCCTCGAAGTCATCGTCGTCATACCAATTGAACCTTAGCACGCAGGTTTCAAGAGGCGCGCTATCACGGAGTACCAGCAGATGGTCAAGAAACTCCTGCTGCTCCTTCACACTCCCCAGATTGCTCTCGTCCTCGCCAACGCGCAGCCCCGTGGCGGACTTCCAGAGGTGGCGCCAGCGCGGGGCTAGCACGCACGTCCGGACAGCATCCTGCGCCGGTAGGAAGGAGAGCACGCGGTGGAGCACCTCGTCCGGGAGGGCCCCTATGCGGTCTCCGCCGGCCGATCCCTTGGCCTCCTTCCGCGCAGACATTCCGCCGAACAGGCGGCGGGCGTCGGCGCCACCCTGCGGAGCAACGAGCCAAGAACCGATCAGGCGACACAAGAAGTGCAGAAACTAGCGTGTGCGAGCAGGAACGAGGCCTCTCCGGGTCAAACCATTAGCATGCAGCTCACCCACCTCGTGAAACAGGAGCGCGCGCGAGGAATCGCCGGCGCCGCCGCCAGCGGAGGGAGCTCGGATTTGGGCGGACGAGGAGACGAAGAGGCGAGAAGACGACAGGTCGAGGAGGAGATGAGAGAGGTTGGTGCGTTTTCAATGCGGTGACGCCGACAGGTGGGCCAGCCCCATGGCGCCGTTTCCACTTTCGGAAATTTGGAGATTCCCGCTCGTTGCGTTCTGCATCAACAGAAACCAATCAAACCAATATGGTTTTGTGTGAAAAATTGTACTCATTCCAATTTTTACATATAATAATTCTGATGTGATTTTTTTTCTGAAAATACTCCAATTTACATGCTATGCAGCTCCTTTAAATCAATTTAAACATATAACTGGTTAATTACTCTCTCTAGTAAACTAGCGTACTGAAACAAGTTCGGATGACGGTGGTCATTATAGGTGAGTACGGCGGTACTTCCAGATGAAATATCTAGACCCCCTTTGTGGTTATTTTGATGATCAATGATAATATGATCATCGGAAGTGTATGATGATCCATCCGTCTAATTCATAAAATCGTTGCACTTAGCTTGAGTGCAAACGGCTGCTGCTTGTGTTGCTGGGAGAAAGGGAGAGAAAACCTCTCGTTTTTCATGCCGTTTTCTGAACTACTAAACAATGTGTTTTTTTTAAAAGTTTCTATAGGAAAGTTATTTTAAAAAATCATTTCAATCCATTTTTAACTTTAAAATAATTGATACTTAATTAATCATGCATTAATAACTCATAAGGATCTTCCCAATCTTCCCTTTCTCTATCCCAACGGGATTGTTTCAAGGTCTCACGGACAATCCGATTTATTGGTGATTGAGTCGGATTGTCATACCAGCATTTTTTTTTCCGGAGGAGGACGGACGAAAGGATCCTTGCTCGGATTGTCCGGAGCAGTCAACAGACAATTACGGTAGAACAGTTCGATGCTTATTGGATTGTCCGACCTTTTCAGGCCAACACCTATAACGTTAGTTACCGTTACTAAAGTATAAAGAGGTGGAATATCCGCTCAAGTGTTGCTGATAGCAAACAGCTACCCCTCCGCCCTATAAAACATCAACATCTGGGGATGAACCTGGACAAGCATTTGTCCAGATTCATTTCTAGGAGTTGTTTTCTTTTTGAAACGGAGGGTGTAGATGACTTGGTTTCGGGTATAAGGTGGTGTTTGGATTTAGAGACTAAAGTTTAATCTCTGTCACATCAGATGTTTGGACACTAATTTAGAGTATTAAATATAGAATAATAATAAAACTAATCGCATAAATGAGAGACGAATTTTATAAGCCTAATTAATCCATAATTAGCACATGTTTACTATAGCATTATATAGGCTAATCATGGATTAATTAGGCTCGATAGATTCATCCCGCGAATTAGTCCGGGGTTATGGAATGGGCTTTGTCATTAGTCTACATTTAATACTTCTAATTAGCGTCAAAACATCCGATATAACAGGGACTAAAAATAGTCCCAGTAATCCAAACACCACCTAAATAGCTTATGTCCTTGTCTCTTGGAACCCTATACAACCTGAGAACCTTAGTGGAGTATCCAAGAGCACAAAGAGTCATTCAAGAGTCTACTTTGTGAGAGGATTACCACTAGAGTGTGTTTTACATCTTGTTGATCTAGTGTGCATCCACCAAAAAAATTGTGCTTAGAACTCTATGTTTTTTTAAAACTGCTTAGAACTCTAAGTAAAGACTACATTTTAATAATCTTGGCATCTTGGCGTGCCTAGCAATTCTTGCATGTGAATCTGGTGATCTCTCAATTCTCAATAAGCTTGTGGGAGAACAACTAATTATTTTGACATGTATAACGGCATACAACCTCATTGTTTGCTTATTGGCTTACAAGTGGCAACTAAAAATTGAATTTTTTCATATACTTGAATTTTACTCTACTCTTAACGCTTTAGAAGCCAAGGCCCAAGGTTCCAAGGTATTGTAGTGCAAATCTCCACACATGGCTTCTTCAACCTTTTTGCTCTTTCTCACAATGAATAATGTATTAGAAAGGACTATTACAACGTAAATTTGTTCGGTGCCTCTGGCGAATTCAAATTTACAGCTAGGTGAGCTCAAAACTGATATTATCTGCAATATCACCTACTTTTCCCCCTCATGTTTTTGTCTCGTAAAACAGTCTAAAGTTCCAAATCACATGGTTCGGTATTTATTTGCGTTTTCTCGGATTTGATACATCTAAATGGTGCATCCATAGAGCACAAATGCTTTCAAGGATTATATGATGTTTGCAGTTACTGTACTGTAATATTGGGCTTTATCAGCTGCATGAGGGATACTAGGCGCCTGTTTACCAGACGATGTAGGTTTATCGGTACAGAGGACTGCATTGTCAAAAGAGCAAAAACTAAAAAAACGTCGAACAGCAGGTAGAAAGTAACCCGCATTACAAATCCAAAAGTCTGCCCTTTAAGCTACTCGGAGAGAATAAAACACCATGGCATCATCCTTGTGGTCTCAACCTTCTTAATAATCAAAACAGTGGTGCATCAAACATTTTCCTCTTCCACTTCGTCTCCATCTTCATCGTCGTCTTCATCTTCATAAGGGTCTCCATAAGAGTCTTCATTTTCGTCTTCGTCTTCATGAGAGTCCTCATCTTCATCTTCCTCCACTTCGTCCTGGTCATTGTCATATCCTTCCAAAATCTCGATTTCCTTAAAACTAAAAACTGCACAAAGAAACAAATAAGAATAGCACAGTAAGTTTCAAGAGGTCCAACCTGAAAATTCACTCCAAAATAAAAACTTCAAATCCATTGACAACCCTTCAAAATACAAATTGACATAAAGACTTCATTACTTCTCCATAACTAAAATCTGATTATGTCCACTACTTCATTCAAAGAAAGGAAATATAATAAAATGCCCTCACTTGGAGAAGCATTGGTCCTTTATAATATGGTTGCATCCTATGCTGCATAGTTGCTGGTTTCTCTATAGCCTAGCACACGACAAGGAGAAAATTGCATGGTCTAGGGACTATACGGATACTTATGGCACTTCGTAAATAAGATTTTTGGACACCAGGCCACACCAGGCGCTGGACATAACAAATAAAATCTAGTGTCACCGAAAAAGACTACCTTAGGCAAACAAAACTGCTAAGCAATCTTTCCCAATTATTGTTTTCTAGTAGCTGCTATGATATAACCAGGATGGGTAGTGCAGCAAGCTGTCACACTCAGCACCTCTGGTACGGTAAACTGATAGTTACAGCAGAACAAAGTTTTCTCACAATAATAGAGTTTGACAACGAGATAAAATGGTATGCGAGGTAGTACTTGTGTACATGGCAAATGACATGCAAGTTATAAGATGGCAACATCGACTTTCACAAATATACAACTGATGGGAAAGGAAATCAAATCAAATGATTGAAAGATATAATAACATACATCTAACATACATGTTGACATACTAGTTATGTGATGCAAGAAAATTTTAGAAATCTTAATATGTTTTTGTAAGTAATACTAGCCAAAAGAGTAGTCTAGATAATGTCTTCCCAATCATACCAAATACAGTGCATGCTTTCATTTCCCAATTAATCCATGGTCCTAACATCCGTTTCCCAAGAACTTACAGTTTCGATACTGCTTACTACATTTCACGCGTATGAAGGGAAAAGAAAATTTCAGAAATGTACAAAAAATGAAGAATGTTACGTATGTTAAATGTAGACAGATACTTCAAAACTTTGAGTACTCTCTTATCAACCGTTTCGCATTTGATTTCAACTATCTCAAGATGTGCTGATATTACAAGTGAACTATCCATTGAATGGCAGTTTCCTTTGATTTTCATTCTATGTTTAGGTCCCTGTCAGAAATTAAACATTTTAAGGTCAATAGAAAAATGCCCAAAAATATCAACAAGTAATCAATTGGCCAATTAGAGAAGGTATACCTTGGAACAGATCTGAAGAATGAGATTCTCTAGAACCGGTGCATGTTGAAGAATGCAAGTTAGTGCACTAAAATCATCGGGCACACACCAGTATTCATTGAGTAACAAAGTCTTTAGCTTGGTAAATGTTGGGCGCCATTTCAAATCCCTTTTCAAAATAAACTGCGCGGAGTGCAAAAAAGAAGATAAACAAAAACCACAGAGTTCAAGTGGATATAAGCACATTAATATAAATAATGAGATAATACAAACAACTTAAAGATGGAAGTGCAAGCATACCGATCCACGTTCACTTATCAGCCCCAACGTCTTAGCTTCCGATAAACCTTCCAAAAGCACACAATTGTTGTCCTTGATACCGTAACAAGATTCGCAGTTCTCATGACCACAATCCCCAGAGTCAGACCAAATGCAATAGTCTTTAGTCCAGTTGAGGACTCCAACAAATGCATCAACTAATGATGGCATCCTCTCAAGCACTGGAGCCCTGTCATGGAAGCCATCCAGCTGCAGAGAAACAAGACTCGGGATAGCGATACGTACCCGAGATATCTCACTGAAATAGGAATTGGTTATGCTCAAACGTTTTGCAGAGCTAGATGAGATCTTGGCACAGCCAAATTTACATGACTGAAACACTAGATGTTCCAATGCTGGACAGCTCGAGAAGTTAAGGAAGCTGTCGTTTACCCTTATATTTCGAAGCTGTAGCCTCGTCAAGTGCTGGGAGACAAGTGGCATCTCATCTATCACAAATGAGTGGTAGTATCCGACGTCGAGCCAGAGGAACCGAGCCTTGTGGATAAGAGCATGCCTGAACCATAGGTTCACCCGAGCTGTGTCCTCGATGTCCATGTCGCCGTAATAATCGAACATTAGCACGCACGTGTCGAGAGGGGCTCCATCACGGAGTAGCAGCAGACGGTCGAGAAACTCCTTCTGTTTCTTCACGCTTCCCAGATAGTCGCAGTCCTCGCCAATGCGCAGCCCCGTGGCGGACTTCCAGAGGTGGAGCCATCGCCGAGCCAGCAGGCACGTCCGGACAGCCTCCTGCGCCGGTAGGAAGGAGAGCACGTGGTGGAGCACCTCATCCGGGAGGTCCCCTATGCGGTCTCCCCCGGTCGAGCCAGGCGATTCCTTGGGCATCTTCCGCGGAGACATTCCGTCGAACAGGTTGCGGGCGTCGCCGCGGCGCCACCCCTCCCCTCCCAGCGTAGCAAGAACAGCTCAGGTAACAGTAACACCAGGAGCGAGGGCTGTAAGGGTCAGGACCAAGCTGCCCACATCGCCACCGGCAGCCTCCCCCCGGCCACCGGACACCGACCAGAGAGTGGAACGCGCGGCGCCCGCGTTGCAAGGATACGGATACGCCAATGGCGCGGCGCGACGCTGGAGAGGAGAAGCGCGACACGAGCGCGGGAAGCGGACGGAGAGCTCTGGATCGGAGGGGAGGAAAGGGTGGGATGCTGTGCTGGGTGGAGAAGACGGAGAGTTTGTAGTCAGTTTCTATCTCTACTGAGGTGAGTCATGACTGGGGAGAGCCTGGGAGTCAGTTTGCTGTGCATATAGTTTTATTTTATTTTTTTGTTACTAGCATGAAAATAAAGTTAGGACGCGGGAAAAAATATTACCGCATTATTAATTGAGTTTTCATTATTATAAACTTACAAATAAATTTATCTAATATTTTTAAGCAACTTATATAAAATAATTATTTCATATCAAGCTTATAGCCTTAGGTTGCGTTCGGTAGTCCAATGCTGCCCTCCAGCACAGAAAACGGAGTGGTCCATTAGCGCGTGATTAATTAAGTATTAGCTAATTTTTTTCAAAAAGAATCAATATGATTTTTTAAACAACTTTCGTACAGAAACTTTTTTTAAAAAAAGCGCACCGTTTAACAGTTTCAAAAGCGTACGCACGGAAATTGAGACAGGAGAGTTCCGAACCTGGACTAACGAACGCAGCTTAATAAGCCAAAATAAGTTATTGGGAAATAAAAATTAGTTTCTAGATAAAACTTTTATATATTGGTTCATAGCGATTTAAAGGGCAATGCTAAAAAGAAATTACGTTGAAATATCTTAAAATCAAGTTAAAAATTTAAATTTTGGCTTTTGCTTTTACTTATTAGGCTAATTGATGGGGCTCTCAGTTTAGAGCTCATTTAAAATATATTTCCTCTGTCCCTATATAAATGCACTCTAATACAGGATGTGACATATCATACTACTACGAATCTGAATATAACAGATAAAAATAAATTACAAGACAGATGATTACAAAATAAAAAAATATAAGAATAATCGTTTAGCAGGATAAGATACAAGATGGATGAGAGATAGACTTAAACTAAAATTCCAAAAACGTTAGAGCTCTTGGTAACTTTCCTCCAAAGTCTTTATATGATTGTACATTTCATAGAATTTCAAAGTCTTCATAAATAAAACAAATTGATTTAACCATTTGTTTTAAAGGTCATTTCAGAATTTTTTCTACAGAATTAAAATCCTTAAACTTTTTATGTTTTTCCTATGAATTAAAAAACCCTCGGAAGCAGGGGCGGATCTACCCATTAAGCAGGGTAGGTCGACTGTCCCAGCTACGACTCGTGTTGCCCCACACCCTCAAACCCCCCCTAACCCCTTATAATAGTTGTGGACCATCAAAATTAGGTATAAGAAGGTGTAAGCACTCAATAGATGTTCGTTTCTTCACAACATACGCACGCCGCAAACAATGATTGAGACAGTTATATGCGATTGAACTATAAATACGATATGTGTTGTGTTTAATTGCTCTTATCGAGTGAACATCTCTTTTCTCCGCCCCATCTATATTTTGAAGTTGCGTCCACCACTGCTCGGAAGCCCAGGTAGTGAGCACATGGAAGCTTAACCTTCTTAATAAATCAAAACAGTGGTGCATCAACCATTTTTCTCTTCCTCTTCCTCTTACTCTTCATCTTCATCTTCATCTTCGTCTTCGTCTTCATCGTCATCGTCTTCGTCTTCGTCTTCATTGTCTTCGTCTTCATGTTCGCCTTTGTAAGAGTCTTCATTTTCGTCTTCAAAAGGGTTTTCATAAGAGTCCTCGTCTTCATCCTCATCTTCCTCCTCTTCATCCTGGTCATTTTCATCTTCTTCCAAAATCTCGATTTCCTCAAAACTAAAAACTGCACAAAAACAAATAAGAAGAGCACAGTAAGTTTCAAGAGGTCTCACCTGAAACTTCACTTCAAAACAAAAACTTCAAATCCATTGACAAACTTAGTCCATTGGACCAATCCTTCAAAATCCAAATGGACATAAAGACTTCATTACTTCTTCATGACTAAAATCTGATTGTATCCACTACATTTAAAGAAAAGAAACAAAATAAAATGCCCTCACTTGAACAAGCATTGGTCCTTTACAACATGGTTGCATCCTATAATGCATAGTAGTTGGATTCTCTACAACCTAGCACACGGCAAGAGAGAAAATTGCATGGTCTAGGGACTATGTGAGTACCCATGGCAATTTGTAAACAAGATTTTTGGACACCAGGCTATAATCACCAGGCGTTGTGAGCTCAACATAACAAATATAATCTAGTGTGACAAAAAAAAATTACCTTAGCCAAACAACACAACTAAGCAATCTTGCCCAATTATTAATTACTAGCTGCTATGATACAACCTGGATGACTAGTGCAGCAAACTTGCATACAGCACCTCTGGTAATGGTAAACTGATTATCATAGCAGAACAAAGTCTGTGAGGTACTTGCATACATGGCAAATGGCATGCGAGCTATAAGAGCAACTAATAAACTGGAATTCAAGATGGCAACTGATGGGAAAGAAAATCAAATAAAATTATTGAAAGATATAATTACACACATACTGGCATACATGTTATCATACCGGTTACGCGATGCAAGAAAATTTTAGAAATCAGAATGGTTTTTTCGAATACTACTAGCCAAAAGAGTAGAATAGATAACGTCTTCCCAATTGTACCAAATGGAGTGCATGCTTTCATTTCTCAATTAATCCATGTTCCTAGCATCAATTTCCAAAGAACTTCAATACAGCTTGCTATATTTCATGCATATGAAGGTAAAGGAAAATTTTAGAAATATACAAAGAATGAAGAATGTTTACGTATGTTAAAAGTAGACAGAAACTTCAAAACTTTGAGTACTCTCTTATCAACCGTTTTGCATTTGATTTCAACTATCTCAAGGTGTGCTGATATTACAAGTGATCTATCCATTGAATGGCAGTTTCCTTTGATTTTCATTCTATGTTTAGGTCCCTGTCAGAAATTAAACATTTTAAGGTCAATAGAAAAACGCCCCCAAAACTTCAACAAGTAATCAATTGGCCAATTAGAGAAGGTATACCTTGGAATAGATCTGAAGAATGAGATTCCCCAGAACCGGTGCATGTTGAAGAATGCAACTTAGTGCACTAAAATCATCGGGCACACACCAGTATTCATTGAGTAACAAAGTCTTTAGCTTGGTAAATGTTGGGCACCATTTCAAATCCCTTTTCAAAATAAACTGCGCGGAGTGCAAAAAAGAAGATAAACAAAAACCTCAGAGTTCAAGTGGATATAAGCACATTAATATAAATAATGAGATAATACAAACAACACAAAGATGGAAGTGCAAGCATACCGATCCATGTTCACTTATCAGCCCCAACGTCTTAGCTTCAGATAAACCTTCCAAAAGCACACAATTGTTGTCCTTGATACCATAACAAGATTCACAGTTCTCATGACCACAATCCCCAGAGTCAGACCAAATGCAATAGTCTTTAGTCCAGTACAGGACTCTAACAAATGCATCAAGTAGTGATGGCATCGTCTCAAGTACTGGAGTCCTGCCATGGAAGTAATCCAGCTGCAGAGAAACAAGACTCGGGATAGCGATACGTACCCGAGACGTCTCACTGAAATAGGAATCGGCTATGCTCAAACGTTTTGCAGAGCTAGATGAGATCTTGGCACAGTCAAATTTACATGACTCAAACACTAGATGCTCCAATGCTGGACAGCTCGAGAAGTTAAGGAAGCTGTTGTTTAGGCCTATGTTCTTAAGCTGTAGCCTCGTCAAGTGTCGGGAGACAAGTGGCATCTCATCCATCAGAAACGGGCTGTGATAGCATATATCGACGTCGAGCAAGAGGAACCGAACCTTGTGGAGCAAAGCATGCCTGAACCAGTGGTTCACCCGTACTGTGTCATCGAGGCCCTCGTCTCTAAACCAAACGAGCCAACGGAACCTTAGCACGCACGTGTCGAGAGGTGCGCCATCACGGAGTAGCAGCAGACGGTTGAGAAACTCCTTCTGGTCCTTCACGCAGCGCAGATAGATATCGTCTTCGCCAATGCGCAGCCCGGTGGCAGACTTCCAGAGGTGGAGCCATCGCCGGGCTAGCAGGCACGTCTGGACAGCCTCCTGCGCCGGTAGGAAGGAGAGCACGTGGTGGAGCACCTCGTCCGGGAGGGCCCCTATACGGTCGCCGCCAGTCGAGCCAGGCAATTCCTTGGCCTTCTTCCGCTGAGACATTCCGTCGAACAGGTTGCGGGCGTCGCCGCCCCCCCGCCCCCCCCCCCCCCCCCCCCTGGCGTAGCAAGAACCGCTCGGGCGACACGAGGAGCGCAAAGTCCTAGCGTGAACGAGCAGGAGCGAGGGCTGTTCTGGTCAGCACTGCGCAAGCTCACATCGCCGCCGGCAGCTTTCCCCCGGCCACCGGAGACCGAAGAGAAGAGAGTGGAACGCGCGGCAGCAAGGATACGCACGCCGACGGAGCGACGCTCGCTAGCCCGACGAACGGTCAGGTCGCGCGGAGGGGAGAGAGAATTCCGGCGAGGCGAGACGGATGCAGAAACAGCGCTGCGATGAGCGGAGGAATCGCCGGATCGGAGAGAGACGTCGGCTGGGTGGTGAAAGTTTTTTTTAAAAAAAAAACGGGAAAAGGAGATGAAAAAGGTCGAAATTTTTTTAGGCCGTAGGTTTACTTCACGCACATTCTTTTTCTTTTTTTTTACGCTTTTGTTTTTTTATCTGAGGCCGCACCTTTTCATTAGCGTTTGTTTTTAATTGCTTTCAATTTTGTGCTATTACTTCCAACTCAAAATTTAACACTTTTAACTGATATTTGAAAACTTAAAACTCATTTAAATTTTTCTACCCATTTTAAACCTTCAACTCAATTTTTTTTAAACTTTCAACCCAAAATTTTGAAACTTTCAGTCTGAAATTCAAAATTTTGAAACTTTTATCTTAAATTTCAAAACTTTCAAATACAATTTTCAAAAAAATTAAATCATTAAAAACTTTCAACTCAAAATTTAGAACTTTCACTTCAAAATTTAAAACTTTCAACTATAAAATTTAAAAATTTCAACTCAAAATCTTGAATATTTCGATTTCAATTTTAAAACCATTAACTCCAAAATTCAAAATTTTCCATTCTAATATTTTAAAACATTCAACTCTACATTCAAAATTTAAATTTTCAAATACTAATAATCTATTAAAACAAGTCACGGTTGGTAGTAATTGTAATTACAGTTAATCACGTCATTAGCGCTAATCGGGGGCGTCGTGTGCGCGGGTTAATTAATCGGCGCAGCTGCGCCTGCTAGCAACCGTGGTTGAGTTTTGAAGAATTTTTTTCATTTTTATTTTTTAAAAAATATTTACAGAAATAATCTATCATCGGAAAAATTTACAAAAACAGATCCTACTGCCCTCGAGCTGACGTGGCAGACGGCGGCTCGACGGTCGGTGACGGCCGATTGAAAAAGTTGAATGGGCGGCAAGGGGCCTCCACGCAAAAAGCCAGCCCGGAAAGGGCCATTTTAATGGCAAATTGCATTTCGCCCAAAGCGCAAAATGTGCACATGGCGCCGTCGAACCGTCGTCTGCCACGTCGTCTTGCTGCCCTCCACTAGGACGGCAGGGTCTATTTTTGTAAATTTTTACGACGATAGATTATTTTTGTAAATATTTTTTTAAAAAAATTAAAAAATAAAAATTCGAGTTTTGGAGTGGGTCGGCTTTATTTTGGTTGGGCCTATGGGGGTTTTTTTTGGAATAAGTTCACTTTGGGTCCCTCTATTTGTCGCTCAGACTGATTTTCGTCTCTCGACTGTAAAACCGGATACGACCCATCCCTAACTTCCGAAAACCAGGCAAACGAGATCCCTCAGCGGTTTTGAAGGTGGTTTTAGCTGACGTGGTTCCTATGTGGCTTGTTTGTCTAGGTATTCGTCCCACGTGGCATTGATGTGGCGCTTACGTGGCAATTATATCTCAGAAAAATAATAAAAAGCATGGCCCCACATGTCAGCTGCACACACAAAAATAATTTTAAAATGGTGGGGCCCACGTGGGCCCCACATGTCAGCCTCACTCCACTCTTCCCTCTCCCTTCTCTCTCTTCTTCCCTTTCCCCCTCTCTCCTTCCGGGGTAGCGGACGGCGCGGGTGGGCGGCGGAGCAGGCGAGCTCCGGCGGCGGCGGCGGGCATGTTTGGCGCCGCCCCCCGACTGGAGCGCCGCCGGTCCGCGTGAAGGGAAGTCCGGGGAGGTCCGGCAGTCGGCGGCCGGCGGCGGGAGCGCTGGGCGGGCAGATGAACGGGGCGGCGGCGGGCAGAGCGGAGCGCGATGGACGGAGTGGCGGGGCGGGGCGGGCAGAGCGGCGGCACGAAGCCGAAGGGGCGCCAGCCTCGTCATCGTCGTCTACCGGCGCGTACCGGCGCGAAGCCAGTGGGGCGCGCGGGGCGGAGTGGGGCGGCGGGGACGACATGATGCGTGGCGCCGCGGCTCGTTCGGGTTCCATGGTCCCCGCCCTCGTTCGAGCAGTAGGACGGACATGGTCGAGCTCTACCGGAGGGCCTTCGACGGGCTCGCCGCGCCCTTCTCGGAGTTCTTGGGGTACCGCGAGGACGGCGAGGATGCCACCGTCCGCTGGCTCGACGCCCAGCCGGCCAAGTCCGTCGTGTACGTCGCGCTAGGCAGCGAGGTGCCACTGCGCGTGGATAAGGTCCACGAGCTCGCGCTCGGGCTGGAGGTCGCCGGGACGCGCTTCCTGTGGGATCTGAGGAAGCCCACTGGCGTCTCCGACACCGACCTCCTCCCCGCCGGCTTCGAGGAGCGCACGCGCGGTCGCGGCGTCATGGCGACGAGATGGGTTCCTCAGATGAGCATACTGGCGCACGCCGAGAAGTCGTCGCGGCAGCGATTCGTGCAGTCGCGGTGGAGGAAGAAAGCAGCAAAGCGTTTTAAGCCAATACCAAGAAGATGCAGGAGATCGTCGCGGACATGGCCTGCCGTGAGAGGTACATCGACGGATTCATTCAGCAATTGAGATCTTACATGGATTTTTTTTCATTTTTGTTTTTCTTCGTTATTTATCAATTCGAAACCGCAGAACGTCTGATTCTTTAATTAGTGGAGAACTTAACTTTGCACTCAGATTGACAAATTGTACAGGCAAGATATCAAGATCATGGGCTTTTTCATCTCCAAACGGCGAGGGCGGGGACACGGCGGCTCGTTCGAGTTCCACACGGCGGTGGAGGCGGCGCAGCAGGCCATCGCCACCAGGCACGTAGAAGGGCGGCGGACGGCTTGGCGAACGGCGCAAGAAAGAGATGGCCGCCGCCGCCCCATGCGCCTCGCGCGCCGTTGCCCGCCGCCGGCCATGCGCTGTCCGCCGCCGCTCGCCGTGCTGGACACCGCCCGGCGAGAGGAGGGAGCAGAGAGATGGGGAGAGCCGGAGAGAAGGAAGAAGAGGATTGGATTTGGTCATTTGAGAATGACTTGTGGGGCCCACGTGGGCCCCACCATATTTATTTTTTTTAGCTGACATGTGGGACCCACCATTTTAAAATTATTTTTTCTGTTGCTGACATGTGGTCTCACGATTTTTATTATTTTTCCGGGATATAATTGCCATGTCAGCGCCACATCAATGTCACGTGGGATGAAGAACTAGTCAAAACAAGCCACATAGGCGCCACGTCAGCCAAAACCGCCTTCAAAACCATCGAGGGACCTTGTTTGCCTGGTTTTCGGAAGTGGGGGGACGGGTCATACCCGGTTTTGCGGTCAATGGACGAAAATCGGACTAGGCGACAAATAGAGGGACCCAAAGTGAACTTACTCTTTTTTTTTTTGACGAGAATGCTAATTCACGCGTGCCAGCGTGCACTTCCGGTCCACACGGCCCACGCGCGCACGTTTCTTTTCTCTTTTTTTTTTGTTGCGCTTCTTTTTTTCCTTTTTTTTTTCTCTTTTCGTAGTTTGCTGCCGCACGAGTATGACAAAAAATCGTAATTAGTTTACTAGTGATTAGTTTCCTATTTTTACTAGTAATTCCTATTTTTACTATAGTAATTTTTAAATCTTAACTTATAATTTTTAATTTTGGACTTGAAAGTTTTTAAATCTTGAGGTAAAAATTTTTAAATCTCAAGTCGAAAGTTTTCAAATTTTTCAAATCTGAACTTAAAAGTTTTCGAATCTCGAGTTGAAAGTTTTCGAATTTGAGTTGAAAGTTTTCAAATCTGAGTTGAAAGTTTTCAAAATTTGACTTTAAAATTTAAATCTTAAATCGAAAGTTTTCAAATCTAACTTAATTTTTTTTTCAATCTGTTAGTAAAAAATCTTTAAAAAATCTTCAAAATATTTCCTAATTACTGTCTTTAGTATTAAGTGTTAACTAATAGTGTTAAGTGCTAAGTGCTAAGTGCGTGCTAGCGGCGCGTGCGCCTGCTAGCCACCCCTTTTTTTTTTTTGAGACAAAGAGGCTAAGCCTCCGATATATTACTTTACTAGTATAGCCAACTACTAGCTTCAAATCATACTCCCTCCGTTTTAGGTTATAAAACGTTTTGACTTTGGTCAAAGTCAAACTGCTTTAAGTTTGACCAAGTTTGTAGAAAAAAGCAGTAACATTTTCAACCCAAAAAAAATTATTATGAAAATATGTTTAATTATTGATTTGACGAAACTAATTTAGTATTAAAATATTACTATATTTGACTATAAACCTAGTCAAACTCGTAACAGTTTGATTTTAACCAAAGTCAAAACGTCATATAACGTAAAACGGAGGGAGTAGCTAATTCGTACAATAGTTAGCTATAAACAAATACTACACTATTAATACTTGGTCCCACGTGTCATACTTACATTTCGTCTTGGAGTCCGTGTTACGGCTGACTACGAATCTGTAGCTCACTGTTCTTCTCTTTTTTCTTTTATCTTCTTAAAATATGTTTATCGTTGGCTTATAGTCTGCTATTGTATTTGCTCTAAGGCTAAGGCCCTATTTAGTTCCCAAAACAAAATTTTTCATCTATCACATCGAATGTTTGAACACATGCATGGAATATTAAATGTAGATGAAAAAAAACCAATTACATAGATTGTGTGTAAATGGAGAGATGAATCTTTAAGCCTAATTGTGTCATGATTTGATAATGTGGTGTTACAGTAAACATTTGCTAATGACGGATTAATTAGACTTAATAACTTCGTCTCGCAATTTCCTGGCGGAATCTGTAATTTATTTTTGTTATTAGACTATATTTAATACTTTAAATGTGTGAAGCAACAATTTTTGCCAACTAAACAAGGCCTAAGTATGTTCGTTGTACAGCACAGCTAAAAGGAACATGCATGTATTGAAAATATAAGCACATATTGATTTATTTTATTTTATAAATAAATCATGATATTGAGCATGTAAACACATAATCGCATCATGCGATATATAATTGTAAACTAAAACATAAATAGTTCGAATATGCGAAACATGATGAATGCGTACGGATGGTTTCTGTCGTTCGGATACATAGTAGAAAGAACTCGCGATACCAGACGTTGACGACGGGCACAACACCCGAGCGAAGTGGAAGATGAGCCGTGGTGGACGAACAACAGGCAATCACACGAAGCATTCCCTAAAAACCTTATTACCGCATTCTCACGGTGCAGGACGTCGAAGGCAAAGGTTTCGGAGACCTACTATCCCGATCGCCAGTGCACGTCAGCGAACGGAACGGAGTAGACTACGTGCGATGACATAGTACAGAGAAGGAGGTAAATTCTAGATTGCTTTGCACGTGTGTTACGAGGTGGCAGCGGCTCGGTTTATATAGAGATATCAGGACACGTGATTAGGACGCCTTCATAATCTCCGCACTACATAACCGAACCGGATAAGTCGCGTGTAACTTATTTGGTCTCCACGCTGCTCCACGCACTAGATTATTCGGTGCGTTTCTAAAAACTAGGTTTCCAAAAACAAAATCAAATTTTGTAGCAAAACAAAACCTCAAAAGGAAGTTGCATTTGTGCAGGGGCGATGAACCAATTTTGGTAGGCTATTCATGTGCATGTCGCATACACGCATTGCCTTACTTGGCCAAGCAAGGCGAGCAAGTGTGTGTCTTGCTCTTGTTATGACCACGGTACATGTCTCAAGTGGTGGCTAGTAGAGTAGTCTTCCTTATAAGGATGCCTCCGCTTTAGAATAGGCAAAATGGTAAACATTTTCATGCCATGCCGTTTTGTGTTGTGGGGGTTTAATGTTCTTTTAAAAAATTAATCTTCAAATAGGTCAACACCAGTCTATTAATTCTAACGAAACATCATCCAAACTATCTTGGTTTTAGGAATTGAGTATTTAGGTACGTGCCATATAAGGCCTTGACGACAATTAAGGGATAAAAAGTGAACTTATTCATCATAGATTCGCATGGCCTGGCCCAAAACGAGCAGACCCATATCCGCGGTAAGCCTCACAATATATAAGACAGAGAGAGATGGGAATGGGAGCTGTGGAGCCTAGGTTTTCCTTCCAATCCGCCGCCGCTCACCACTCGACCGAGCGGGGCACCCACCTCCGGAACCAGATCCCTCCTCTCGCTCCGAGCTCTCTCGCGGTCTCGCCACTGTGCCGGCCGGGTAAGCCCCTCTCCTTTCCTCTCCCTCTAGATCTGAAATGCACATTTTTAGCTAGCTAATCCCATCGTTTTCTCGTTTACTACCGGCATTTTTTCATTGGTACTTTTTCTTTTTTTAGATCTGAAATGTCCTCGAGTGAAGGATCTAAGTGGGTTTCGCGATGTGTCTTTGGCTCCCCTCCGAATCTTTCTGAGCTAGATGAGTTGGCGGTTCTTTATCATGAACAAGCTGCAAGGAACACTAGAGACTACGTTAGAAGCTGGATCTGCCCCGACTGTAGGAAGGAGTACAAGCCTATTCAAAACATGCTTGTTGATTTGCCGCCTTTCAGCTGTGATGACTGTGGGTTGAAGGTGAAATTTTTTCTCATCATCATTTTCTTCTAACCATGACTCTCTTTTCTTGTATTTTTTCTCCGCTAACCATATACCTCTCTTGTGTAGAATGATGCTGCTTATGAGTGGAGAATTACCCAATGCCTGATCAATGGAGTTTCGTTGGACTTCAAGGTTTATGACCAAAATCGTAAACGTACGTAATTCTTTCTCGTTTTCTTTTCTCTCTGTCTGTTCTTTATTTTCTTTCACATCTTTCCGTCCTTTCATTTTAACTCTTTTTTGGGTCTCGGTATGTTCTCTATTTTCTTACACTTTTTTCCCTCAAATCACTATCATCACGCCACATTGTATTTTCCTTTTTTTCAGCACACTGTACCCTATATTCAGTTGCTGCCACAATTGACGCCACTCGTAGGGTAGAAGGGGCCAAGAAAGGATTGATAATCTCCACTCCACTTGACGTACCAGAGATGGCTAAAACATATGAGCAAGTCACTGGTTTTGAGCTTGGGAAAGAACCCCCGGAGGAGTTGTTTGAGACGTACGACAACTGCTCTCTCATTATGGAAGTTGTTAAAGCTCATGGGATTTCTTTTCTCCTTGGAGAATATGATACCTTGCTTCAAAATAAGTGTGTTGATTTACCTCCAATCCCACGTCTTAGGATCAAGAGTTACTTTCGTGTTGACCGTAACAATGTTCTTCTTATTACTCGATTGTTGGCGAGTGGGTATCCCTTGACAGCTGGAATGCTTCATGGCACCTTATATTGGTATCTTAAAGGTGACCAATACTATTATGCTCCTAAATGTGCAACTACTGCTGATGCTCACGCGATTACATTGATTGGATCTGGGTTGGCTTCTAAGAACAATATGCCTGAGACGTTCTATTCAGCCAGAGATTCACATGGGACTAAATCCCATCCTGACCATAAGATGCGTGACTTCGGTGCAGACTTTTTTCTTTGGGCATGTGATATTACTGATGTTTGGGGTCTTAGGGGCTGTTTGGTTTCCAGGGACTTATTCCAATTCCATGTCACATCGGATGTTTGGATACTAATTTGGAGTATTAAACATACACTAATTACAAAACACATTCCATATCCTTGGACTAATTCACGAGACGAATCTTTTGAGTCTAATTATGTCATGATTTTGACAATGTGATGCTACAGTAAACTTTTTATAATTATAGATTAATTAGGCTTAAAAAATTCGTCTCGCGGATTAGCTCTCATTTATGAAATTAGTTTTTTTATTAGTCTATGTTTAATACTCTAAATTAGCGTCCAAACATCCGATGTGACATGAGCTAAAAAGTTTTAGCCCCATCTAAACACCCCCTTACTCTGGCATGAGTAGCTTAAGCTTTGGTGGAGACTTATTTCTGGCATGAGTAGCTTAGGCCCTGTTTCTTTGAGGGACTTTAAGAAGAAGTCCCCCCACTTAAGTCCCTAAAAGTTCCTAGAGAAACAAACAGGAGGGACTAAAAAGTCCCTAATAGTGCATTTTCCAGAAGTCCCAAATGGAGGTGCTTATTGGGAAAAAGTGGCTCTATTCCAGCCACTGCCCCTTCACGCCAGCCATCCCTATCCATTTCCTCGCCCACTCTCTTTCCTCGCCTTATCTCTTCCTCGCGTCGTCTCTCTCTCGCTCCTCACAACGCCGCACCCTCGCCGCCGTCTCTCTCTCGCTTCTCACAACCCCGCGCCCTCGCCGCCGTCCTGCGTTAGCCCCCACCGCAGCTACGTGCTAGCTAGTCCTCTGCCCGCCGCTTGGTTCGCCTGGTCTCGTGCAAGCCGACGCCGCTCGCGCAAGCCTCACGAATCGCGCATCAACAATGGCGGGTGGAAATCCTCACGATTTCTTCTCCCAGTCGTTCAATGAAGCTCCAACGGGCCACATGGACGGTTCCGACTACGGCTTCTCGCAGGGGTCTTCAGGATATGGTGGATCTGGCGCCGGCATCCATTTTGGGGGAGGGGGATCGGGGGGCCTCGATCTGAACTCCCAGGCCGACGCCTTCCCTGATTTCGCCTCCTACCAACAGATCCTTCAACCGGGTAGCCTTGTGTTACCTCCGATTCGGGCAGGGAGCAGATCCACAGTCCCCCCGTCACGTCCTCCTCCAGCGGCGGGAGGGGGACGTGGCAGAAGTCGTGGAGGGAGAGGAGGAGGACGAGGCCGTGGCAGGTCGTTGACCAATAGCGCTGGATCTGGCAGGGGAATGGGAGGATTTGTTCCTCCTGGCTCATCGTCTGGCCAAGGAGGCGTCCGAGGTCATGGGGCATCCATGTCGCACAGCGGGCCACCCGCCTTCAACTTTGGAGTCTTCGGAGGAGGACGGCGAGCCGGTGCCTCGTCGTCTCAAGGGACAAATGTGTCCGAGGACGACGGCAACGAAGAAGACGAAGAGGACTTTGGTCCTGATGGTTAGCATATGGTAAACCCCCCATGGTTACTTTCTGTTATGTTTGATTTGTTCTATTGCGAAATATGTCAATTGTTGCTCATGATATTGATACTGCTATGCATGCCGTGATCTAAGCATTTGTATTACAGTATATGTTGTTCATTGGTTAATTTAGGGTTAAATCATGTTTTTCTTTCCTAGAATACGTATGACAAGGCAAATTGGACAGAAGAAAAAACTTACACATTGTGTGAAATAGCATGTGAGGAAATAAGGGATGGGCATTGTCCTAGTGGAGCATGGACAACTAGAGGGTACCAGAATTTGAAGGCCAAATATTTCCAAAGGGCTAACCTAAGGCATTCAACCAAACAGATAAAGAATAGATTCACCCATCTAAAGAATTATTACATTGCTTGAGTGTGGCTGAACCAACAAACTGGAGCTGGTAGAAGTGCTAGTGGAGAAATAATTGCATCAAATGCTTGGTGGGAAAAAAAAATTAAGGTATGCAGTTGTCAAAAATTTAGCTAGTTTACATGATTTTAGAGTTTTCTGTGATATTGATTTAGTGTCAATACAGGAGAAGGGGGACGCCAAGAAATTTCGCCATGGCAACCCTGAGTACTTAGATTTTCTTATAGAGATATTTCAAGGAGTTGCAGTTGATGGTTCCACAGCATACATCCCTGGTTTTGAAGATGAAGATGAAGAGGAAGGAGAAGATGAAGCAGGGGATGCAGGGGAGGCAGCTAGAGGGGAAAGAGCTGTAGGTGATGGTTATGAGAACAGCCCCATGAGCACTAACAGCAGGAAGAGAGGGAGTAGCAGCTGTGATGTGTCCACAGCTTCTAGTCCTGGGAAAAAAAAGCAAGAGCCCAGTGGTGAAGCTCATGAAGGGGCCGCTCAATTCTTTCAACTCTGATTGTGATAAGTCAAATACCCTAATTACTGAACTTGTTAACAGCAAGAAGTTAAAGGAGCAGAAGAAAGAAGAAATTGCTGAGTCATTGACAAACTGTCAGAGGTTGGCAGTAGAGTGTGGTGCAGCAGAAGACAGTGTGGAATACTTTTGTGCCACATAGTTGTTTGCTTCCAATCATAACAGAGTTATGTTTAAGAACATTAGCACTAAAGAAGCAAGATTTATGTGGCTGAGGAGATGGTGCCAGCAGAAGAATTTGTATTAGATGGTCCCTTTCTTTAGTTGCATATCATGGGTCTGGTCTGCATTAGTTGTGTCTTAGCTGCATTAGTTATGATTTACTTTTGTGTTGAACTATCAACTTGTTTGATGTGATGTGACGTAATGAACATGTGATGTGTGGACCTATTTAAACCTTCCCTTCTCTTCTTCTTGAAGTTTGTTCATATTATATTTATGATGTGCTTTCTTTCTATGCATATGTCACTCCTGCAGGATGGTGAAGGCAGTGGTGATGAACATATCTCTGAGGAAGATAGCAGTGATGATGAGATTGATCTTATCATTTATATTTTGAAGAAAAGAGAAATGGACAGGAGAAGAGCATGTATGCTTGCCGCCATGATTGGTACGTATTACTTGGAACTTTACTCTAATAAGGCTCCAAGAAGGGGAGCACCTGAGTCTGGACATGATTGGGTTATGAGAACATTAGCCAATAGAACTGCTTGTTACAACATGTTTAGGATGCACAGGCCAGTTTTTGAGAGGTTACATTCTGTGCTTGTGGAATCATATGAGTTGAAGTCGACAAACAACATGGATTCCTTGGAGTGTTTGGGTCTTTTTTTATGGATAGTAGGTGCTCCCCAATTAGTTAGGCAAGCCCAAGACAGATTTGTTAGGTCTCTTAATACAGTACATAGTAAGTTCAAAGCAGTTTTGACCGCTCTACTGAAACTTGCACAAGATATCATTAGGCCAAAAGATCCCTTATTCACAACAGTCCATAAGAAATTGCTTTCTCCTCAGTACACACCATATTTGGATAATTGCATTGGAGCAATAGATGGTACTCACATCCAAGTTGTGGTGCCAAATTCAGCTGCTGTTCAACATAGGAATAGACATAAGGAGAAGAGTCAGAATGTTATGTGTGTCTGTGACTTCGATATGAGATTTACTTTCGTGCTTGCTGGGTGGCCTGGTTCGGTTCATGACATGAGGGTATTCAATGATGCACAAACTAGATTTAGTGCCAAGTTTCCAAAGCCACCTCCAGGAAAGTTTTATCTCGTAGACTCAGGATACCCAAATAGGCCGGGTTATCTAGCACCATACAAGGGTATAACATATCATTTCCAAGAGTACAACGAAAGCACATTGCCAAGGGGAAGAAGGGAGCACTTTAATTACTGCCATTCTTCGTGTCGGAATGTCATAGAGAGGTCATTTGGGGTCTTGAAGAACAAGTGGAGGATTTTGTTTAGTTTACCTAGCTACTCGCAGGAAAAGCAAAGCAGAATTATCCATGCATGCATAGCACTTCATTATTTCATTAGAGACAGTCAAATGGCTGATACAGAGTTCGACAATTGTGACCATGATGAAAATTATGATCCATTGGGTGGAACCTCTTCTCCATCTAGCGAACCAACAAACGAATTGGACTCGCGTGTCATGAACCAATTTCGGGACTGGATTGCCGATGGCTTGTGGTATTTGAAAGGAATGTAATGAATGGTTCAATTTTTCTTGTGAATTGTATTTGGTTTAACTTGTCAATTGAACCATGAGTGCTTGTAATTTGTAACATTGAAACTTCTGTGATGTATTTCAACAACTTGAGATGTATATGAGCTTCTTTGAATTTCTGTGATTGGGCTGTGATATTGATGATGAAATTGATGTGGGGGTTATTGCTTGTGATTCGGCTTGTTGAAGGTGTGTGTTTGTCCAAATTATGATGGATTAAATCATGTGATGTTGGGGTCAAACATTGATTTGGCTTGCATTTGGTTGTGCTGTCATGCAGCAACAATGGTTTGCTTGTAAAATGCTAGCAGCGGCAGCAAACAGCATGCTGCAGCAAGGGCATGGTGCAGTCCACTTTGCATGGTTTTAGGGGGTAATATGGTCATTGTGCAGTGCATTTAATGAACTTAAGTCCCTTTTAGTCCCTATAACCAAACAGCCATGAACTTAATTGATTAGTCCTAAGACTAAAATAAGTCCCTAGGACTTATGGATCCAAACACCACCTTAGTCTTTGGTGGGGACTTATTTCTATGGGCATGGTGTTACTGATGTTTTGGTGTCTTAACTCTGGCATGACTTAGTTGTTAGGAGCATGTGGCTCAGATGTAATTTGTTGTTGGGAGCATGTAAGAAACTAGTAGTAACTAATTATATATGGTATTCTAATCATGTGTTGGGATTACAATATGTGTAAATGTTCCTTAGATTTTCTATTTGCATGCTAATATTTTTTATCAAAATGTATTCGGTTGGATTTGAATTTTATTTCATGTGTCCTATAGTATGCCTATGTTTAGTTCCCAACTTTTTCTTTAAACTTCGAACTTTTTCTTCACATCAAAACTTTTCTACACACGTAAACTTCTAACTTTTTTCTTTAAACTTTCAATTTTAGTCAAACTTTCAATTTTAGCGTGGAACTAAACACACCCTACGATGTTATATTTGGTACTACTGGTCGGTTACTTTCTTTGAACAAACAATAGTACTACACCTAATCCTGTGCGCGCCACAAAGATTCAAGGTATGAAAGGAACAAAAAGAAAAAAAATCAATTCATTCAACGAAAGAGCGTGTCACATTCAGGTCACAGCGTGGCAAGCTTCCGTCTCCACATCGACTCTTCGTTCTCCACGTTGACTTAGATATAGATCCACCGTCCATCTCATCCGACAGTGCATACTCTCCAATTCCTTTCTTCTTCCTTTTGCTCCCTTCGCTCCGTAGTTTCTAGGCCAACGGCCGTCGTCTGCTTATAAACTACTTCGATCTCATTATGGTAATCGCCGAAGCAGAAAACACGAAGGGGCTCATCAGTCATCACAAGCAAATCTTTTGGCTTTGTACCCCGTCCGGCCGTCCCAGACTTAGCCTTCTTGGCCACCAACAAAATCCAACGCCGTGAAGCCATCTCGTCCATGGAGCGGCGATGGCGAGCACGTTTGATGATGATATATGCCAACATGCCAACAATACGATGTGCGTCGTCGTGACTTGTTGTGATGGTCGAGTATATAGGTGAGAATGCATCGGTCCATAGAAGGCTGAGTCAACGTGGGTGAGAATGCATCAGTCCATAGAAGGCTGAGTCAACGTGGCTGAGTCAACGAGTGTATTTTAAAAATTGCTGCTCACAATCGGTGATTTGGGTAGAGATCGTGCAAAAGGAGAAACTTCTACTGGCTTCAACAATCAGTCAACTGTCATTTTCCTTGTTACAACAGCAATCTAACTGAGCTGTAGCGTATTTTTAGCAACAACGTAGTTACACCTTTGCAACGGCAGAAATTTGCGATGTGGCTAGGAGTGGCGACAGCCATGGCTGCCGGCGGAGTGGAGGAGGAAGAAGAAGATGAAAGAATTTCAGGGGAACACGAGTGGGACCATCCGATGAGAATGGACGGCGGATAGGATGGAACTGTACGGCCGATAGCAAAGTTAGAGGATCCGCGTGGCGCTTCCCCTCAAGAGTGGGCTCATACATCTCCAGTTCTCCACAACTAGGGATGAAGACGGTCGGAAACGATCGGAAAACAGCCTCAACCATTTCCGTAATCATATTTTTCTCGGAAACGAAATCGGAAATGGTAAAGTCGGAAACAAAAACGATATCGGAAATATCGGAAAACCAGAAACGGAACAATACGGACGGAAACATGTCGGTACAGATCGGAAACCGATAACAAATACGGAAATATTAAACTATAAAAACATATATTTAACTTTACATAAGTATGTTATATATATACATAAATTCAAGCTTATACTATATAAATTATAAATTAACTTCATTTTAGCCATGTACAGAAGTTAGAGATTTTATTGAAGAGTCATTCAATCTATAAGCTGTGGGTCAAGTATAGACATGTCCTATAATATCGACATATTTAGAATACGGTAATTACCATATTATAAGAAACGGTAATTTCCGCAAGAATACGGTAAATACGGAAACGATCGGTATAACAACAAAACCATTTCCGTTTTCATTTCCATATTTTTTACCATTTCCATTTTTGTTTCGGTCGATTACCATTTCCATATGGCTCGGCCGGTAGAAAGTCGAAAACGAACGCCGGTCGGCCGGTAATTACCGTTACCGTTTTCACCCCTATCCACAACCATAAGGATCCACACAGGCGGGTTTACGGGTGATCTCAAAGGCCTTGAACTCATATCGAGGACATATAACTCATCGGGATATCATTTTTTGAATTCCTCTATGATTTCGGCTACACGTGCATTCCGCACGTGGTCCCACCACAGCACGAATAGTCGTCTCGTGTGTATCCGGGTGTGCCTGCATTGTCCGAGATAACAACCGATTTCTTTATCTATATACTCATTAAACGTTTATATAGGCCATGCTTGTGCCAAATTTTTTCAATTTTGCTATATAGTTGTCGATAAATTTTCTCCTCAAAATTTGACATATATAATTACAGTACAATCATTGTGTAATTACACTGTAACTATAATGTAACTTGTATGAGACTTTAAAAAATCTCTCCGTAACATGTTATTTTGGTAAAATGGAGGTTGTGGGAACAAATCCTTTCACATATGTGTGTGATGTGATTTTTTTCCTCACCAGAACAAATCTTGTAATAGATCTAACGATTCAAAATTACATGAAACTTACATACAAGTTACATGCAAGTTACAGTGTAATTACATACAAATTACAGTGTAATTACACTACGATTGTACTATAATTACATCTGCCAAATTTTTAGAAGAAAATTTGTTGACAAATGTATAGGTGGTCCCATTTTTTTATGTATATGGACACACATTTGAAGTATTAAACGTTACAGATTTCGCATGTAAACTGCGAGACGAATTTATTAAGCCTAATTAATTCATCATTAGCAAATGTTTACTGTAGCATCACATTGTCAAATCATAGTGTAATTAGGCTCAATAGATTCGTCTCGCCATTTACATGCAAACTATTCAATTGGTTTTTATCGTCCACATTTAATACTCCATGTATGTGTCCAAATATTTGATGTGATGGAATTTTTATAAGTTTGAAGGGAACTAAACACCGCCATAGGTGGTGTCCGTTCTATTGTGTGTATCCGCTGGCATGCGGGACCTGCAATGTTGGTGGAGGAGTTAGGACAGTCCGGTCGATCCTTTCCCGCCCTGTCTCTCGCCGGTCGCATCACTCCCCGCATGCCTCTCCATCTCGCTCTCGCGCGTGTGCTGCTGCCACCGCGCCACTGTGCCTCTACCAACGCGAATCGACACGCTGAAGTCCGGTCGATCCCCATCCCACTTCCGTTTCCCATCTCTCGCTAGTCGCACGCGCCGCTTCCTCCGCCCTGGATTCACCACCGGTCCCACCGCGCCACTGCGCCATCACCGTTGTGAATCGCTCTCAGGTGCCACTGTGGTCCCCCTTGCTCGTCGCGGGAAGCTGTGTTTGGAGCAGATCGAGGGTGGCGGTGGCCGATGGGGCATGTGAAAGTGTGATAGGGTTCAACACAATAGGTTGGTTTATCACATATGGTAGAGTACATATAGGCACATGCCTTCCATATCTAACACAACCAATTTATAGAACAATATCGGAGGAGATAACGGAAGAATGGCAATGGATAAACACAATCTAACACCTCCCGCAAGTTAGAACGTCGGTGGAACGGATATTCAGACTAGATCGAAACTCCGAAAAGATAACATTGGGAAGCCCCTTGGTGAAGATGTTGGCGAACTGAGACGTAGTGGGAACATGCAACACCCGAACGGACCCGGCGGCGACGCTTTCACATGTTTAGTGCGTTGGTGTTGCACCGGGTTAGTGGCGAGATAAACAACACTCACATTGTCACAGTATACCGGTGTAGAATGACTCGGAGGGGTATGGAGCTCATGAAGAAGCTGTCAAAGCCTGCAAGTAATAGCCGCAGCATTAGCCACTGCCCTGTACTCAGCCTCGGCGCTGGAACACGATACAGTGCGCTGGCGCTTGGAAGACCAAGAGACCAAGTTGTCGCCAAGGAACACGGCATAACCTGAGGTGGATTTCTGAGTATCTGGACAACTTGCCCAATCGGCGTCAGAGTACGCACTCAGGTCAACTGTGGAAGAGCGTCGAATGTGAAGATCATAGTCAACTGTGCTGCGAACATAGCGCAGGATGTGCTTGAGATCAGTGAGATGCAGCTCCCATGGGTCATGCATGTGAAGACAATCCTGCTGCACAACATGTGAGATGTCGGGCCTGGGGAAGGTCAAGTACCGCAGGACTCCGGTAGTCAATGGGTGTTAACGACCAAATTTGGTAAGCCATGAATTAGGTTCGACATTGGAATTGAAGCGGATTCGGCAGGGAATCATATTCCAAGAACAGAGTGCGCATCGGCTGCGAAGGTATCGGCTGAAGATCGCATCGGCTGAGATGGATCGGACAGAAGATAGCCGATATAGCCGATTTCGCTGAGATGATTGCGTAACCATCTCTAGGAGTGCTACACAAGGATTGCCACGATAGACAATTGTATCTATTAATTAGGATACTTTAAATAGTTTCTTTAGAGATATGTGTGGGCAAGAGTCTACCGTAAAGACTTGTTCGTATCTTAGAAGTTTGTTAGAGATAAGAGTCGTATCCGACAAGGACTGATTATGTATCTCGGGTATAAATATAACCCGATCCCATGTGATTTAGAACAACAGTTCAATAATACTTTCGGCGCATTGCCATCCTTTTTTCTACTTTCATTGATTCGACAAGTTCTTGCTTTCGGGTTGAGCTGCATCGATTTCGATCTTCAACAAGAGGTAAAGCTTGTCATGACGGCTTGCATTCTCGGGATTAGTGCTTCCATCTTCATGATACTCTAATCTTGTTTATGTAAATCGTCGAGTTATCATATATGCTTTATAATGTTTATTGATATTGTAACTTAACCCGCGATCGGCTAATATCTATTTCTAAAGAGTAGCTGATAGAGCTAGGTTTCGTTGTTAATTTAGATTATATAGAATATCTACCATCTTTTAGAGGTTTTCGTCGTTTTGTTTAGATCTTGTATTTATTCTTATGCTTAATGCTGCATTGGTTGGGTTCGATCTGTTAAGTAATATTCATAATTGCAATATCTAAACTTATCTTATGATTACCAATAGAGATAGTATCGGGTTTCAGCCGATCTTAC